TCGCTAAGTGAACGTAAGTACTTACGCTCTATTTTCTTGTCTATGATTGGTGGATTTTGCTTGAAAGGCCGTCAATGATTGGCTGATGAACTTACGATCTCTTAACTTTTTTGAAAGTATGGGCCCTGTGTACTAGGCCGTAATAAAATTTCACAGGCTTATCCTCTACTTTTCTCCCGCAGACACTGAGGCTCCGCGCGTGGATTGGTGCGAATCTCCCCCAACGTTCCTCTCCGGGGAAGAAGAAGTCGATGTGTATTGGGAAGAGCCAATATTTTCTGATAACTCTCGGCTGCCAGTGAAGGTACTTTTCATATGATAACAGACGTAAAGAATTGGACTATTTGTAAATAGTTCATTCGTTTTTGGTATCATAAAGAAAGCTCAGAAACAACATTTGCAATTATAGTTTGAATATGTACCTATTCTCTAATAAATAATGACAAAATGTATAAAACAAAACTTTGTAATCCCAATGAATTCTGTCGCAACAACGAGAAACTTCTTGATTACTGAAAATGTTTAAGAAAACTATTTTTGACTCCGTAAGGTCTCTCGCCGATCCCGAACTGCTCAGAATTTTTACAGCTCGTTGTGGGTCTGAAACCCGCCTCTTGCTTGTATAATATTCAATGTGCTTGGCCGCCCAGCGACCAAGCACAGAATTTTGACCAGAATGTTTCCCAGTGGCTGTTGCTAACGAACCCATAGCTCACTGCTTCAAATTTGGTGCTCTGAACTTTAACCACTCGGCCACCCTGCCTATTTAATTTATTTAATTTCAATTATCCTTAACTACATCCCACTATTTTTTCGTCAGGTGAATAGGTCCCTAGACCCCGGGCGCTTTCCTCAGGGTTCGACTGATGTGGTTTACACAGCCGTCGATGAGTCTGGCAATACTGCTTCATGCAACATTACCATCACTGTCCAGAGTGAGATTGCCCCTATTGTCGTTCTTATGACAAATCTTGAATCAGTTAAGAAGTTGATGTGTCACATGATTTTTTGCTAGTAATTGTTCAGTCAGTATCTCGGATCTCGATCTTGAAACCCTTAAATTGATTGCGTATAACTGAATTGTCTGTGTTGGACGCAGTTTTACCAACAGGCCATAATGGAGAGTGATAAATTTCTATGATGTATTTCTCATGAATAATTTTCATTCCCTGTCACCCAGAACACGCTTGCCAGATCCCAATGGACCCTATTAACGGTATCGCCAACTGCACCGAGGATCCTGAGGCCGTCTACTGCTCCTTCACGTGCGACGACGGCTACGCCTTCGCCATGCGTCCTCAGCAGGACTACTTCTGCGCCTACGATGGAATCTGGAGGCCGGACAACAGCCCACTCAACTTCCCTGATTGTTCTGGTGAGATTTCATGAAGGTATCTTATTTCGTTTTCATTTCAGTGAGTTTTCACGAAAATATGTTATTTCGTTTGGATTTCAGTGAGTTTTCATGAAGGTATGTCGTTTCGTTTGGATTTCAGTGAGTTTTCATGAAGGTACGTTGTTTCGTTTGGATTTCTTAATTCAATGTATACTAGTTTATTTGTAGGTTCCGCTATAAAAATTTCATTTATTTTCCTTTTGCTGTATATAAAATTTAATTAGGAAGTACCCCCACGAAACGTATTTCTCCAGGAGGTAGTGGTACATAATTCAGGTTGCCTAAAATCGGCCAAATCCGAGAACAAAAATGGCCAAAAAAGGCCGCTAATTCAATGTATACTAGTTTATTTGTAGGTTCCGCTATAAAAATTTCATTTATTTTCCTTTTGCTGTATATAAAATTTAATTAGGAAGTACCCCTACCATAAATTTTAGCCGGCCAACGCAATTGAGAAAAACTATATCACGGAATTTCTCCGGAAAAAATGACCGTCTGGCAACCCTGCTTAAAAAAGTACAAAAAAAATTAAACAATAGTATAAGATGAAGCAATCGTAGTCAACGTATTAAACGAAGGTCGATTCAGTAAACAATTAATCGAACGGCATCTTCTACTTCAGTGACGGCAGTCTCAAACAGCGTCGCCCAGGCTGGAGAAATGGCCATCGACAGTGACGGTTCAGTTTGTGACGACATCTTTTTCATGGGACAGGTTCGTTTTGGTTTAATGGCTTTAATTATTTCATTTGAGACGTAGAGTGATCTCTTCTGCAATCTATTAATACCGTATCAATTTTATTCCACCTATCACGTGAATCACACCCACTCACCCTAAAACTTCGCACAATATTCTTTTTCATACATGTTATTTCCGATAAGAGACATAAATGGAGCAAATGGAATAAACTGGATGAAAATAAACCATATTATTTAGAAAGCTGGAGTAATATCCTGCTCTTCTTGTCTTATGAACAAAATTAAGCACATAAAATCTGAAATAATTCGCTATATTAAAAAATCAGTATTGATAGCTACCATCGTTATCGTTGTTCGCCTACCTGCAATGGCCCATGAAATGCCGCTCGGCTATTATCGCACTATAATCGCTGCTTCCCATAAAACCATATAATTCTGGTTAAAACAGTGATTTTAAGGTTCGATTATATAAGAACAGTAAAGTTTCTTCGATATCGATGGAATGTTGTCATTTAGTTTTGTTAATAAAACTAATCGTTTCCTTTGAAGGTCGGCGACATAAATGCTGTGGCGACTGAAGGGGCTATTAACAGCTGTAATAACTTGTAAAAAACTAGGCAAATTCACTTTTTGTAGCTGTAAAATTGTCGATGTAAAGAACCAGAGCCTATTTAGCTCCAGAGTTTTAGTTCATTTAGGTCCATAATATATGTATTAATTCATGCATTTTGACGTTACTAGAACCATTGCTCCGTAGTCACTTTGATATTATGCCAGGTGGAAAATCAGCTGGAGTCGCGACTGGAAGCGGCTCTCAACGCCATGTGTTCCGACAACATTGTTTGTGAAGTGGCAGCTGTAGAAGCCGTTTGTGAAGGATTGCTTGCCGAAGCTGAGGAGGAGAGTACCAATATGGGTTCATATCGCCGAAAACGGTCCATCAACCCCCGAAATATAAGAGATAAGTTTTGGTCTGGTGAAGATGGAGGTAAATGGCGTTATTGGGAGAGGAGTCCTATCGAATCTTCTGTACAGTTCGTGAGAGAAGTGCAGGTGGGTTCATCTATGTCGGATGATGACCATTTACTCGCCAGGACCAAGAGACAGTTGGGTTTACTTCAACCAATGTTTTTGACTCCTAATCAGTTCACTCCTGATTCAAAAGAGCCACAGTCTGAAACTTCAAACCGCGGAGAGTATCTTGGCGTTTTCATTGATTTGATTACTCGCTCACTGGGTTCAGACATTTCTTTTAACAGATTTGCATCGTTTTTGTCAAACCTTAAAGTTCAAGACGGACAGTTTGGTTCAAACGATTTCATGACTGCATTCTCTCGGGAGTTTGGTGAGGGGAAAGCGAAGGAGCTCAGAGAATTAGCATCGTCTAAGTTCGGTAGAGACAGTGTTTTCACTGGAGAATCACTGCAAACGAATTTATCGACCGGAGCCGTTGCGCCACCTGCAAGCAGACCTGCACTTGCTATTTGGTCGTCTCTAAGTCCAGAAGAAATTGAAATGATTCGTCACCAATTGTCTGCTGCAAGCACGTCAGATCGTCGTACACAAAGACAGGATATTCCGTTGTCTCCCAGACCTGCATTTGCTGGTTCAGAGTCAAGTGACTTGCCTCAAAGCGACCAGGCGTCTCAAGATTTCTCAAATCATGCCAGCAAACTCCACGGGCTGCAAAGAGCTGTACAGAGCGTCACCAGAAGTAACTTCAAAGTTCGCTTCGAACTTCAAGGTAAACAACCCGGAATTCTGACTTAACTTAAATTTTGTCAATTGCCCGGAGTGTTCAGTTCACTTGAATTTAGTCAATTGATTCAACTTTCGGCATGAATTTGGAATTCGATCTGTTGCAAATAAACCCAAAGTTTCGCTTTCTGCCGTAATGAATAATTGAAACTCCGTTTTTACCATAACTCCCAAATTCAGGTCACGGAGAAGGGGCTTCAGACGCGCTTGGTAATGCCATGGGAGAGATTCTGACGGCGGCGAACAGAGGCGAGTTTGATGTCTTGTACGGCGACCGCCTTCTTCGCGTCGCCGCACTTCGGCTAGCAGAAGACCCGGAATACTTGTGCGAAGCTGGCAGCGTCTTGCAGGGCAATCAGTGCGGTGAGTCGCGTGCCCATTGAATCAGTGTGATGAGTCGTGAACCTTCTTCTTTAGGGCGTGCAATAACTTTTGTCGTAAACCTTTAGTCTGGCTGCGCGCTGATCGTCTGGCCAATGGTTTGTTTAGTTTGGAGGAGAGCAATTTCACATTAATTGTGAGTTGAAATAAATATTTAAGAGTTATCTCAACGATTTGTCCCTTCACGTTCTTCAACGTGGTACTGCGCGTGTGTCAGTGATTTTCTCTAACGTTTTCAATCGGTTGGGGTACAGTGAAGTGTCCCGTGGGCACGTTCTTCAATTTGCAGCTTTCTGTCTACCATTGCAGCTTTCTGTCTACCATTGCAGCTTTCTGTCTACCATTGCAGCTTTCTGTCTACCATTCTAGCTTTCTGTCTACCTGGCTCGTACTCTACGGACGGTTTGGAACCGTGCACCACTTGTGGTGTGGGCGAGTACCAGGACGAGTACGCTGCGTACTCGTGCGCCGTGTGTCCTCACGCCACCACCACCTGGCGCAGAGGCTCCTGGCTTCTTGAGGACTGTAAACGTGAGTCTTTTCGAGGACTGTAAATTAGTTTCTTAATAATACAGTCATTTAATAATAATGTAATTATGTACCGTATCTGGCAATGATGGCAATGATCATGTAATAATACAGTCATTTAATAATACAGTCCTCGAGTCTTCTCGAGGACTGTAAACGTAAGTTTCTCTTGTGCAATAATCTAACCTAGCTAATAAATTACTGTCGCCGTACAAAAATTATCAAATTTAGTTCGAAACCTCCAGGTACGTTTCTCTCTTGGGCAATAATTTAACCTAGCTAATAAATTACTGTCGCCGTACAAAAATTATCAAATTTAGTTCAGAACCTACTTCCAGATTATAAAAGAGTTCGCATTATGCGCTTTTAGTTTTCGGTAAACTGTGGCCATACTTTCAAAACTTGCTAAGTTAACTACTACTACTTACGCTCTATTTTCTTGTCTATGATTGGTAGATTTTGCTAGAAAGGCCGTCAATGATTAACTAATGAACTTACGATCTCTTAACTTTTTTGAAAGTATGGGCCCTGTGTACTAGGCCGTAATAAAATTTCATAGGCTTATCCTTTTCTCCCGCAGACACTGAGGCTCCTCGCGTGGACTGGTGCGAATCTCCCCCAACGTTCCTCTCCGGGGAAGAAGAAGTCGATGTGTATTGGGAAGAGCCAATATTTTCTGATAACTCTCGGCTGCCAGTGAAGGTACTTTTCATATGATAACAGACGTAAAGAATTGGACAATTCGTAAATAGTTCATTCGTTTTTGGTAGGTATCATATAGAAAGCTCAGAAACAACATTTGCAATTATAGTTTGAATATGTACCTATTCTCTAATAAATGATGACAAAATGTATAAAACAAAATGTTTGTAATCCCAATGAATTCTGTCGCAACAACGAGAAACTTCTTGATTACTGAAAATGTTTAAGAAAACTATTTTTGACTCCGTAAGGTCTCTCGCCGATCCCGAACTGCTCAGAATTTTTACAGCTCGTTGTGGGTCTGAAACCCGCCTCTTGCTTGTATAATATTCAATGTGCTTGGCNACCAATCATAGACAAGAAAATAGAGCGTAAGTACTTACGTTCACTTAGCGAATTTTGAAAGTATGGCCCCTGATTCATAACTTCCCGATGTTGCTCAAACAATTTTTTTCATCGCTCAGGGTGCATATTCCAGCCTTGAAATGCTGGAAATAAACGACTGCTTCAGTCTACCATGCGTTAATGGCGGTACCTGCGCTCCCCTTGAGTTTGGCTACATCTGCGCCTGTCCCCCCGGCTATTCCGGTAGATATTCGTTAACGTAATAAGCTTTTCATGATGCCAAACGTCAATATGCATAAAATAAGACGTTCTGAACCGCTTACTACTCGCTTCATGTATTAAAATAATTTATTTTATAATAAGTTGTACAAATGAATTTTGATTGGCATTAGTAAGAAGAGATTTTTAGTCCTGATTTTTATTTTGTTCGTTTTGTTAGGGGTTCAGTGCGAATTGGACATCGATGAGTGCGGCAGCGAACCGTGCCTGAACGGTGGCAGCTGTACAGATCTCGTGAATGGCTTCCAGTGCAGTTGCATGGATGGTTACGAGGGGTCGCAGTGCGAGACGAACTCCGACGAATGCAGCACTCACGAATGCAAGAACGGGGCCATATGCGTGGACGGAATTGCTCAGTATTCCTGCGTCTGCCCCCCGGGATACACAGGTAAACACTTGTTTGTTGTTAAATTGGACGCGTCAATTTTCAATTTTTTCACTCGACCATGAACATGGTCGAGTGAAATGAACATGGTCGTATTCTATTCTATGAACATGGTACGTTTCGGGGAGTACGGCTTACAGCAATCGCGTCGATTCTCCTCGACTCTTGAGTCAGCTACCTTTTTCGGTTATTCACTGGTCCGAGGTATCTGAATCACATTCGAACTCTGTTGTTAATTAATATTTGTATCTATTTAAACGCATTTCGAAATATTATATTTTATTTACAGGCTAAAAATTTAAACTCGTAATAAAATATTTTATTTACAGGCACCTTCTGCGAAGTGGACATCGACGATTGCTCGGAGAATCGATGTTCGGAGTTCTCAGAGTGCATAGACCTCCTGAACGACTTCAGGTGCGAGTGTCACCCTGGCTACACAGGACGTCTGTGCAGCGTAAAGGTAGACCACTGCGAGAGCTCGCCCTGCCAGCACGGCGTCTGCACCAGCTTGATTGATGATTATTCGTAAGTCATTGAAATATTGCAGCACTTTGTCTGTTGACGGATTTGAAATTTGGAAAGAATCTGATACGAATAGCCGTGACTGATGTAACCATATATTGATGATTATTCGTAAGTCAATGAAATATTGTAGCACTTTGTCTGTTGACGGATATGAAATTTTTAAAGAATCTTATACGAATAGCCGTGACTGATGTAACCATATATTGATGATTATTCGTAAGTCATTGAAATATTGTAGCACTTTGTCTATTGACGGATACCAAATTTTTAGAGAATCTGATGCGAATAGCCGTGACTGATGTAACCACAGAGAAAGGGATCAAGAGGGTTGAGTTAACTATTTATGGACGTTCTATTTGTATATCTCAAACTTTGAATAAATTGAAATTTTCCTCCATCAAAGCCCAAATACATTCAGCTCTCNATTGTAATATTTTTCAGTCGTAATCACTTGACCCAATTCATTCACGTCTTTTAAACGACCGCAATCTCATTAAAATATTTAAGTATGAATTTATTCACAGTTACAAAGCTCTACTTTCTGCCTAAGTTGCGCCCAATTCATTCACGTATTTTAAACGACCGCAATCTCATTACAACATTTAAGTATGAATAATTATTCACAGCTACAAAGCTCTACTTTCTGCCTGGGTTGCGGTCCGCCCGCTGTGCCCGAACACGGACGCGTGCACGGCGCGTCTGGAGGAGAAGGCCGCGTCGGTGCCACCGTCAGGACCTGTCTCTTATACACATCTAGATGTGTATAAGAGACAGGACTACAGCGGGTAACATTACGTGCACAATGGTAGACAGACATTACAGAAAGCTGCAATGGTAGACAGAAAGCTGCAATGGTAGACAGAAAGCTGCAATGGTAGAAATATAAACTCTACGAACGAAATATTTGGGAAATGTTGCTACGCCACAGACCAGCGCGACAACGCCTTTGCCCTCACGGACTACAACGGGTAACATTGCTACCGAGTGTTTTAAGGCATTCGTAAAGATTGAATTAATTCGTTTAAGTCTAATATTCTTATAGCGAATCAGCTAAATATACATTAAATTCGCTGTTGTGCACTTAAATCCGTTGAAATAATTTTCTTTGACATGCTTTTAACGAGTTTTGCATTCGCAATGACCGGAAAGTGGATGGTGGTGCTTTGTTTCACATAAAAATATTATTCGCTTCACACATCTCACGGAAATTAATTGAGGATTTTGTTCTGTTTCCTGCAATAGATGTTCGATTTGTTGAGATAATGATACCCAGTTATGTTTTTTTTTATTAATTAACCATGAATAGCTTAGTTACATACGTTCAACCACAACGACGATGTTACGCAGGTTCGTGGTGTGCGTCAACGGCGAGAAGCGTATCACAGACGTGAGTGGCAACGACGGTGAGTGGCATCACGTGTGCGTGAGCTGGTCGGGCGTGCGTGATGGTGAGTGGCGGCTCTACATGGACGGACAGTTACGTGAACAAGGACTAAACGTCGCCCCGCACACAACCATTGCTGGTGAGTTCTGTGCCCATACTATTTATATATTTATTTATTAATAATGTAATGATCCTCGTATAATAAAAAATCATAGCATTTTGGCTTAGTGGCTTTTTGAATATCAGAAGTTATGACCAAAAGTTATTTTAGATTATGCATTGTGCCTATATGTTTTATTTTTATTAACCGAGAGCTCGTTTTGTATAGGTCCACTTTTATTTATGTGATTTTTCCTTTTTTTGTTATTTTTCTTCGGAAATTCATGCCAAAATTCAGTATTATGAAGTCTTCGACAAACCACCCCCCCTCTTCAGTTCAATACTTTTGCTTATTTGTCCTATTGCTTCCAAATATTAATTACTGTTATGTCGTTATTGATTTTTTTATATTTTTTATGCTAGTTAATTGATGAGGAATAATCAGCTGATGAAATATATGACAATTATTATTCAATTGCTAAAAACTCTCCTTCTTCAGTTTTAATCACAATGATGCACTTTAATTTATTCTATTATTCAGAGAATTCACTTCACGTTGATATTCTCTTACTGAATTTTTCATTACTCAGCTGACGGCGTTATGGTGCTGGGACAAGAACAAGATATCAGGTAAATTGAGTCCAATGAGTACACATTGATGAACATCCTTTGATATTGAACGATTCTCGTTTAAACTATAAGCAGCCTTCAATTTAGTGCTCAAAATATGTAAAAATATAACTCAGTACTCACTACAGGGAGTGACAGAGAGGGCATTTGTCGACGAAAACGTGAAGTCACAGACGGACAGACAGATAGACGGACGGACAGACGGACATGGCGAGCACAATAGTGAATTTTTTTTCCATAAATGAGAAAATGCGCTAAAAATATATTATTTATATCTCGAATTCAGAATGAGGCTGGAACATCATTCAGCGAATCAAAATTTTCCGATTAGTTTACCAAGCTTTATTTATTTGGTATTAATGACGAATTTTTTCGTCGTCGTCTATTAATTTGTTATCAATGACGCATTTTTTCGTCGTCGTCGCCGTCAGGGGTGGTGGGTTCAACCCCCAGGAGGCGTTCGTTGGGGACATGACGCAATTCAACCTCTGGAGCCACTTCCTGGAGGAGGCTGAAGCGTTGAGCCTTTACTGGCGATGCCAGCGATACGTGGGCGACATCAGAGGCTGGCCAGACTTCCAGGCTGGAATACGGGGAGCTGTCACAGTTAGTAAAATTCTGACAGACAAAATGTTTATGTTCCATCTAAACTCTTCACGTTAAATTTCCACTCGCACATGTGTTCCAAATTATAATTTATTAATTCGTAAATTACTTTTTTCGAAAGCCTGTATGTATACCAGCTCTTACTGCATTTTTTTCGGAAAAATTTGGTGTTTTGAACGTGTCTTGTTTTAATTTTTTCCATAGCGGAATGCATTAAAATCAAATGTTAAATTCTAAAATGCAATGCTCACTTCTCACTCTCTTGTAAATTGTCTCAAAATTCTACAATAAAATGTTAATAAGAGTGCATGAAAAAATTTCTCACTTTTTGGGACTTTTATTTTGATGTTCATAATATAATATGAGTATTGTCACTTCCCAATGTCAATTTCATCAAAATTTACCATTGTAATATTTTTCAGTCGTAATCAGTTGACCCAATTCATTCACGTCTTTCAAACGACCGCACTCTCATTACAATATTTAACTATGAATTTATTCACAGTTACAAAGCTCTACTTTCTGCCTGGGTTGCGTTTCAGGAAGGGAAGTTACTTAAATCGCAATTTCAGGAAGGTAGTCTGCTTAAATCGCAATTTCAGGAAGGCAGTCTGCTTAAAATCGCAATTTCACGAAGGCAGTCTGCTTAAATCGCAATTGCAGGAAGGTAGTCTGCTTAAATCGCAATTTCAGGAAGGCAGTCTGCTAAAATCGCAATTTCAGGAAGGTAGGCTGCTTAAGTCGCAATTTCAGGAAGGTAGTCTGCTTAAATCGCAATTTCAGGAAGGTAGGCTGCTTAAATCGCAATTTCAGGAAGGTAGGCTGCTTAAATCGCAATTTCAGGAAGGCAGTTTGCTTAAATCGCAATCTAATGAAGAATTTAAAAACGAAGAAAATGCCAGGGGAATTCATTGTTTCTTTATCGAAAACGTTTTGTAGACCAGCTTATCATCAATTGGAAAATTTATAGCGCAATATCAAAAGAGAAATGTCATGGGTACACGTGAAAGATTAAAACGTAAGTACCGAAAAAAACGGAACAAAGAACATACAAATCTATCGATTAAAATTTTCAAGTATAGATAATAACTGTTAGTGTTATTAGAATAGAATAGAAGTGTCGGCGTTGAAGACATAGGCCCATGGCCTGTTGCCGATTCTTGAACTTTTCGTGACTTGATTCACAAGGGATCCGGCCTNCTAGATGTGTATAAGAGACAGATTTAGAGCCGACTGGGCGCTCCTCAATGGCTGGAATACTGTTCAAGTCCTCTTCAGTAAATACGCTACTGAAAAAATGATTAAGTACGTTGGTTTTGCCCTCATCAGGGGATATCTTTCGCTGATCTACTTTCAAATCAGAAATACCGTCCTTCATCGGCAAGGTTTCTGTCAGGCCATTTTTTTCTGTTTCTGTTTCTGTCCAAAAATAATCTAGGATACGAAAGTCATTGAATCCGATGCAACTACTTTACTGATTTTGGTTTGGCTTACTGTATTATATTTATTCGATGTGTAGTAAATTAGACATGCTTTGAGTTATGTCAAAATTGGAATGTCGTGTATAGTTGGGACAGGTGGTATAACTCAACTTACGTCGAAAGTATTGTTCGAAGTTGCATCTTAAGCCGAATGATACGAGACTGATCGATTCATTTTTCTGGCGCTGATTATATATCAAAGCACTTGTCTTACTTATGTTCTTGCTGAGTACCAATTTGTTTCCTTATTGACTTTCGATACAGGTTGGTATATGTATTGTTGGTTCGTTCTGTAACGTCTTTAATAATAGCCAATGATTTCTTCGTCATTACCTTAAATTTTCTTTAAGATTTTAACGACAATTTCGATGGTGATTTGGCTGGCTAATTATGTTAAAATACAATTTTTGAAAATCAATGAGTTTTTCCGCAGGTTTGTCATGTGGGTATCCTGGCTACCTTCGGCATGGTTCGCTAGAGGGTACTAGGTACTCGTACGGAGACACTGTGAAAGCCTCGTGCCAGATGGGGTACAGGATCGAGGGCTCCTTCTTGAGGTCCTGTCTCGCCAACGGATCGTGGAGCGGAGAACAACCATCGTGCACACGTAAGCTATGTTATTCATGACCTAATCAGGTCGTAAAATTATTTGTTAAGTAATATTTATGATGTTCCGTTTCGATATCCCTTCCATTACGGTTCAAAATTTATACCTTATATATGTGCTCGCGTATCAATAGCTGACACATCCTCTTTCTACTTTAAATCTTCTGAAATCAATCTTTATCATGTTTTTTTTCCTGATTCCAGAGATAACTTGTCCTTCAGTATCCGCTTCCGCGCACCAGTCCGTGGCGTTGTCTCCTGACGCCTCCTTACCGAGGTCGAAGGTGGTGTACGCGTGTGATGCAGGTTACCAGATGGACGGACCCGGTGTACAAACTTGCGGAGGCGACGGTGAATGGAGTGGCTCACAGCCTTCTTGCCAAGCATCTTCCTGTAACAATCTGCCTAGGTACTTCATTCCATAGATGTAGTAAATAATGTTTATTCAATTTGTACATGGAAATCAGTCAAATTTTATGCACCGTAATCAAAACTACCACAGTAATACGTTATACCACAATCGTCAGTCGACATGAATGACAACGTACGGTTAGTGTACACGCCTTTGGATGATATGACCACTGAATTAACCGATATTTGTCAGAGAACAATCTGAAGGCTGTCCAGCGACGCTAGAATAGAATAGAAGTGTCTGCGTTGAAGAAATAGGCCCATGGCCTGTCTAGTCTCAAAGACTGATTACAGAATTCACCTCCAGGATCGAGAACGGAGAATTGCAAGGACCTTCCGCTGAAGGAGTGTTCACTCTCACATGCCAACCAGGATTCCAGGTTCGAGGTTCACCCGACATTGAATGTCAGGCTGACGGCCGATGGCCTTCAAGGCTACCCAAGTGTGTTGCTCAAAAATGCCCTAAACCCCCCATCGTTGATAACGGAGCTGTCAGGGTAAGCCTCTAATTACTATAGAACGGATCTTGGTACATTTTTACTCAATTCTATCTGTGTTTTTATATCTTTGTGTGGAATAATTTAAATGAATTCATTCATCTTGCTAATAAATTCTACCGAATTTAATGGAAAAAACTCCTGTTTCTCCTAAATGTTGCTGTATTTTAATTGTGATCTTCATTTTGAGGTCCGCGCGTCTCGCAATGGGAGAGAAGCATCGTACAATTGTGATACTGGATTTGTTCTTGAAGGCCAGAGTATACTGATGTGCACAGATAACGGAACATGGGATGCTCCATTCCCGAAATGCGTTTCAAAACCCTGTCCCAATCCTGTTCCTCCTGCAAACGGAAATTTGGTGGAAAAAAAGGATGTTTGGAGAGTCGGTTCCATTGTCAACTATGCATGTGATATTGGATTCATGATTTCCGGCCATGTTTCGATTAAATGCGTCGATACTGGTGAAGATGAAGGAGAGTGGGATCATGCTTCTCCTACCTGCTCTGTAATTGAATGCCCAGCTGTTGAAGATATCAGATTTGGTGTTTTCACCGTGTTAGAGCGATCTGCTCTGGCTGGACATGCTCAACACTCGCTGGAATTTCCGCAAGAAGATTTGACAGTGTACAGGAAGAGGCGCGACGTCCACGATTTTCCTCCAATAGGCCAGACGAGTGGAAGCAGTGACTACGATCACGGTCAGCTATCGTCTGATTATGATCATTTAGGTCAGTCAGCTGGAGGGCAGTCAGTAATGGACTATGATTTTGGACAGAAAGGCAACGAGTTTGATCAATTTGGTCAAACTAGCGATGATTTCAGAGAATTCGGTCAAACTAGCAATGGTTTCGATGGGTTCGGCCAAACTAGCAGCGGTTTCGATGGGTTCGGCCAAACTGGCAGCGGTTTCGACGGATTTGGTCAAACTAGTAGCGGGTTTGACGAGTTTTCCCAAAAAAGCAGTGGATTTGATGAAATTGGTCAAACAAGCGTTTGGAATGTTGGACAAAGCCCTGCCGAACTAATAAAATCCGGTCCAATGGTGTACGGTACTGTTGTCGAATACTCCTGTCGTCCCGGATACCAGCTTGTCGGAGCTAAAGCCAGAAAATGCGACTCAGACGGAGAATGGAATTTTCCAGCCCCATATTGTTATGAGAACTACTGCTCAGAACTCCCTGCTTTAGAAAATGGTTTTCCAACTTATCATGGCTCCGGTGTTAACAGTCGTGTCGAGTTCACATGCGATGACGGTTTTCAAATAGAAGGGGACTTTGAAATGCTTTGTCAGCCAGATAAGACGTGGCTGGGCGTGTTCCCAACGTGTAAAGTGACAGACTGCAAAAAACCAAAAGAACTGGAGAACGGAACCGTAACGTATACATCAACTACTTATGGTGCCATGGCTGTTTATGATTGTTACATGGGATTTGTTTTGGAAGGGAGCTTCGAAAGGTTTTGCTCTGGAGAAGGGTTCTGGAATGGTTCAATGCCTAGATGTATTGCTGTGACGTGTATGGTGCCGCCTGTTATTGACAATGGTTACATAACCTTCGAAGGCAGCCTATATGTTGGCTCACCAATCGAGTACGAGTGTAAGGAATGTTTTATGCTAAACGGAACTCGCTTCAGGTATTGCCAAGTTGACGGATCTTGGGATCTCGTTGAACCTACGTGCGATATGATCTATTGTGACGCAATACCCGATCAGCTCCCTAACGGTCGCATAATTGGTAATGATAATTCATGCGGGGCTCTTGTTGAGTACGAATGTGATCCTGGCTACGAAATGAGAGGACGCAGGCGAGCGACATGCCTTGAAAATCAACGTTGGAGTTCACCAACTCCAAAATGTGAACGAATCACATGCGGAATTCCTGACGCTGTGGACTACGGCCGCATAATTGGAGAATCATTTTCATTTTCGGACAAGGTGACGTATGAATGTAGTCCCGGTTACGTTTTGCGAGGTACCAACGTTCGCGTGTGTTCAGTTGACGGAACATGGACAGACAGAAGCCCGTACTGTGACATTAAAAACTGCACGAAGCCCAAAGGGCCATCGAACGGGCGCGTACGGTTGAGTGGTTTGTTTTATGGGTCCACGGCGAATATTGTGTGTGACCCTGGCTTCAGAATCGAAGGTCCACGAAACTTGAAGTGCAACGAAAATGCAGTTTGGGATCAAGTAATGCCTTATTGCCTTCCCATCATTTGCCCTCCGGCACCATTGATACAACACGGATCTTATAATTCGACAGAACGTCAGTTTGAGTCGTTCACTAAGATTGTTTACTCTTGCAACGAAGGCTACTACACCAATGCTACAGAAACGTCACTCCTCTGCGATATATATGGCCAATGGGTTGGAACGCCAATAACATGTCGCATTAGAGATTGCGGAACGCCCGGAACTTTACCGAATGGGCGGATCATAGGAAACGTAACTACGTACGGAGCAGTTGTTTCGTTCCATTGTAATGAAGGTTACACTCTCTTAGGCGAGGCAACCGCAAAGTGTTTGTCGGATGGTAGCTGGAGCAACTACGCCACCGCTTGTTCTTTGGTGACCTGTGAAGATCCGACCTTCATTGAAAATGCCAAGCTTGTGCTCGACAATTCAGCCGTGAGTTATGGTACAACTCTCTCATATGAATGTGAAAAAGGGTATTTAATGTCAGGTTCTGCAAACATGTCGTGTGAATTGAATGGCAAATGGTCCAAAGAACCCCCTTCGTGTGATATCGTAAAATGCCCTCCTCCACAAGAAGATTTCAATGCCGTAAGGCAAGGAAATTCTTTCGAGTATGGACAGATGATAAACTATTCTTGCTCAGAGGGATTCCTTATGGAAGGCCCAGCTCAGCTAGAGTGTTTGGAGACGGGTCTTTGGTCGGGAGAATTTCCTGTTTGCGAAATGATTACATGTCCTCTACCTGAAGATATTGAGAACGGCCGCTACATGGCTAGGAAAATAAATGAAATTCCAATTAAAACCGAATCCACTCAGACAATCGAGTCTCAAAGCACTCGTAAGACTAAAACCACGAAAACGGGTAGGTTGGTCAACCTTCTACAGATGAGCCAGATGCGAGAAGATGTTCTATACAAATTCGGGGACGTGATCGAATATGAATGTGACGAAGGACATTACATGGACACCAGCGGCATCATCACTTGCATTGAGAGTGGTTGGAATTTGCCGCCCCCTACCTGTCGCGCCATTGAATGTCCCATCCCGATATCAATACGCAATGGAGAAGTTCTAGGCGATGATGTCGTGTTTGGATCTGAGTTGGAGTACAAGTGTGATGAAGGCTACGAGCTTGTGGGTGTAAATCGTCGTAGGTGTCTGGCAAACAAAGAATGGAGCGACACGGAGCCGTTCTGCAGAATCATCGAGTGTCAAAGACCGGCTTCTTTGGAAAACGGTCGAACTATTGGTTCTAGCTTCAAGTACAAGTCCGTCTTGTCGTACGTCTGTAATACTGGCTTCAGGTTAACGGGCGTTGATACAAGGTTGGTTTAGATTTCAGTCATCTTCGTTTTTTCCTTTGTCATAACGTTTATATATGTTCCAGGAATTTCATGCTCAAAATAGCTGAATTTTTTCCTTATGAAGAAAATATTGCCAATATGTTAACGTTACCGACTTATTTGTGTCCCGCGATATTTCAAAGTCTTTGGCCGTTTAGTTCTTGATGATTCTTGTACATCTTTATTTGAATTTAATCTTGTTTTTCGTATTATCTTGTATCGAATTACACGAGACTAGATATTATTCGAATTAAATCGCAGAGTATGTCAAGGCGACGGCCACTGGACTGGAGAACAGCCCGAGTGCGTTGAGATTTTCTGCAGCGCGCCTGAGCACGTGCCCCACTCCGTCCAGGACGTCACCACCATGAAGGTTCGTATCCTTAGTATCCTTAGTATTTGTTTGGGACATAGCAGTCCCAGGCCACGATGGATCGTCGCCTCTGATTATCGTTCATCCGCCCTCATTTGGGCCACCTGATGCACGATGCTGTTGCTTGCTTCTCGCCGCTGGTAGCGTTGCAGGGGAGGTCGATCTGGAATTGTGCTCAGGAACACGTAACAAAACTTTAGTACATTTTTAGCGCATTTTCTCATTTATGGAAAAAATGCACTATTGTGCTCGCCATGTCCGTCCGTCCGTCTGCGGATCCAAAATTGTTAATCAACACTCAACTTCATTTTCACAGATAGAGCTTAAAACACATCGTGACTGAATTCCTGATGCCAAAAAATATAAATTGAAAAATTACTATAATATACAAACAGAATTTCCTTCATAAATTGAATACTAAGTTAAATGTTATAAGAAAGCTTCTTTTTATTTGTAATTTTTGAATTCACAGAAAGGCACGATTGTTGATAACCAGTTGAAATGAAACACGATTCGCTGATCATTGTGTCATCATTGTATGCTTTCTACAACATTACAATGTCATTGTTTCAACAAAGTTTTTCTATCTGCGCACATGAGGAAAATTACCAAATAATTTGATTTCTTCGTAAAATAATTATTTTGAGAGGATATTTTGGCGTTGTCAGGAGCCTTGGTTGGGTTAAAAGTCATCGTGTAAACTTTAAGTGCACTTGACATTGTTTTTCAATTGTAAGACCGCGCGAAAAGTTTATAAGAACTCGTAATTAATTAATTAATTACTATGGAGGTAATAATTTATTAACATTTAATTACGTAGGCACGAGAAGTCAATGGAAAAGCCAAGTCGTCAATGCACGGACATTCGAATATCGGAAAGATGTTAAAGAACATAGCCCCCCTCATGCTATCAAAAAACATTAGAAAAACGCTTCGTGTGTTTTTTTACACAAAGCTTTGCAAAACTTACAACACAGAGTCTTTCAGCATTGTATTATAGTGCTTGATTGCCCATATTAATTATATTATTCATAGAATCTTCATCTAACTAAATAAGTATTAGATGAAACATTCACAAGGAATTTTTTACCAATTATTTATTAAGCACTTGCCTCACTGCACGCAGGTTGGAGACACCGCTCGTTTAACTATTCATATTCATCTAACTAAATAAATATTAGATGAATCATTCACAAAGAATTTTTTACCAATTATTTATTAAGCACTTGCCTCACTACACGCAGGTTGGAGACACCGCTCGTTACTCGTGCTTGGAAGGATACAGACTGGAGGGCTCCTCGGTACTCAACTGCCAGGAGTCTGGCGACTGGGACCACCTCCCTCCGCGGTGTGTGCAGATCAACTGCGGCCATCCCCCTCACGGCAACCACTTGTCCCTGAGTGGTAACAGCACAATCTACGGGGCACAAGTATGCATTTCTAAATTGTATGACTTTTAAATAATATAGATTTCTATCATGAAGATATTTATTAACTTCCCATTTTATTCATTTTACACTTGATTGGGTTTGATTGTTTAACTGACAAAGTTAATTACCTCAAAAAAGTTGGTAGCCAGGCCATATTTTGTTTGATCGAACGGCCCAGTTCTGCAGAAGCTAGTATTGTAAAATTTAATACGAAAAGCATGCTGAAGCGAACGGATTTTAATACGATTAAGGTTTTTAATTCAACTTAAAATTTACTGGTGAACGAGATTGGCGTCTTTTACAATGAATTGATGATACTACACGTTACAACGGACCAAAACTCATTAAGGTATTGCAGAGATCGATATTAAATGATGAAATCTAGAACGACAACGTGTGGAATCGATCTAAAAAGGCATGTTCCACTTGGATCAGTGGTATTCAAACTTTTTGGGCAATTTACATTTTGAACAGAAAGGCATTATTTGCACCTAAAACTCCAGCAACAATACTTATAAATAATTGTAAACGTTATAATATCAACACACAGTACACTAATATTTTGAGACGATTAAAATTATTCGGAGAATTTTTCGCTATTCAGAGGTATATTTTAACGCTAATTGTATTCAAGTTCTTTCGGTATTAAATAGCATCAAATAACGCATGTTCCAAAAAAACTAAAGTAAAAATGTTGTTGCCCTCGTCACATAATTAAGAACAAAAAGTAACAAGAGTGGACAAGCAATCAGATTTCTCGATCGTTCCTTGAAAAAAACACCTGCACTGATGGGTGTGATGAACCTATTTAATTAATTAATATAACTTCTCAAAACTTGATCGCAGACTCGAAATTTTCACTCAAATCATACCTAATGTTGAGCTGGAAGCTGCATTCTAGTTTCAAATTTTTTGTTCTGCCCATTCCAATCCTGAATCCATTCAAAGTGAGTCCAGTTAACATCTTTGACTTTATCTCTTTGATAACGGTTATGTTATCTTTCCTTAAAAATTAGTACTCCTCGGCGTGGCTAAAATTATTGTCCACATGCAATTACAGAATTAGCAAAACTCTCTGCAAAACCACGATGAGGCCCCTGAGCTCTGAGACACGCTTGAAAATAACACGCGGAAAAAACACCATAACGCCCTTTTTAGCGCATTTTCTCATTTATGGAAAAAATGCACTATTATGCTCACCATGTCCGTCTGTCCGTCCGTCTGTTCGTCCATCCGTCTGTCTGTCCGTGACTTCACGATTTCGTCGACGAGAAAATGCGCTCTCTGTCACTCACTGCCGTGAGTACTGAGTTATATTTTTTAGTATAACACCAGAAACCCGAACAACATTGAAAAAAAACGACGATAAGGCTATATTTCATGGGCGGCCGGTCACTATATAACGCCGGTAGGACCGTTTTGTCACGATTTTTTCGATCAGCCTTACAAGCAAACTCGTGCAGGGTGGCCCAATGGTTACAGTTCAGAGTTATATTGACATTATGTAATCTATGCATTTGTTTTCTTCCATGTCTCTGTCTAGCGTTTTTTCTGAGTTCAACCTTTCAATAGAAGGTTTTCCGTTCTTCTAACGAACCATTTTGATGGCGTTCAATCTTGGAAATATCATTTAAAGGATGCATGTATTTCAATAACAATAAGTGTCAAACATCTTCAAGCGAAGATGGTCTGTCCTCAAGCGAGTGCCAATCACGTAATTACAGATAAATATTACTCATGCCTCCCCCTAATACCAACACCAATAAAAATAATTATAATAATAATAACCATATATACAATAATTCTAACTTAATCGGAAGTATACATCAGTAATATCACGAACTGGATGAAACTGAAATCAGTCAGAAAGTAATTTAGACAGAAGTATAGTTGAAAATTATTCTGCAGGTGAAATATAGCTGTGCTCGTATACATCAGTAATATCGCGAACTGGATGAAACTGAAATCAGTCAGTAATTTACATGAAAGTAAATCAGTCAGAAAGTAATTTAGACGTCAGAAAGTAATTTAGACAGAAGTATAGTTAAAAATTGTCCTGCAGGTGAAATATAGCTGTGCTCGGGGCTACCGCCTACAAGGGGCTGTAGAGACCACGTGCACGCAGGCGGGCGTGTGGAGCTCGTCTGCCCCGCGCTGTGAACGCATCCAGTGTGAACCTCCCAACCCTCCTCCCAACGGCTACATCGTTCCCTCACCACAAGGTAAACAAATATTGTTGAACAAAATCAAATTTAGCAAAAAATATATATATATAACCCAATTGGTTTCTCATTTTTAAATGAAACAAGTGACGTTCCTTATTTATTTCTAACAGAGCTTCGCAAAGAGAGACTCATTCTTCAACAATCCGCCTCCCCGGTCAAAACTTCTGGCGCAGTTACTAATATTCAAACACAGTCAGCTACGTCAGAAGCGCTCTCTGAAACTTCAGCCCTACACGCTAGAACAACAGCTCGACCAGTTACTACGACACCCTCAACATTTAACACGAAAACGACGGTCCCACCAGCCAGAACGACATCACCGATAGTTAGAACGACAGTCACACCTGCTCGAACAACAGTCACACCTGCTCGAACCACAGTCACACCTGCTCGAACGACAGTCACACCTGCTCGAACGACAGTCACACCTGCTCGAACGACAGCATCACCTGCTCGAACGACAGTCCCACCTGCTCGAACGACAGTTTCGCCAGCTCAGATTTCAGCCACATCTAGCCGAACTACAGCCCCTCCAACCAGGTCAGCCACGCCTGGCAACCCTTTGGTCTCGATACCTTTGCCTTCGAAAACTAATTCTCCTGTAACCAAAGGCCAAATCGTACAGATACCGTCGTTAAAATCTCGTCATAAACGGGGTGGAACATGGGGAATGGACGAGTCTCTTCTCACGGAAAATTTGCAGCATATGCAACAGTTGCAGCAGCAAAGAGAAGTGGAAGATCAGCAGCTTGCGCAACAAATATTTCACGAAGTGGATGTGCAGTCTTTCGAACTTGACCAAGTAGAGGGATCTGGGTTCGCTCCGTTATATTCAACCGAGCGTCTTGGTGAGCATTTGATTATGATTATTCAAAAAGACCCAAATTGATAGGTAAATATCAAGCTACGGTTAAACAATTGGTGATGTATTTTTAGCGCATTTTATCATTTATGGAAAAAATGCACTATTGTGCTCGCCATGTCCGTCTGTCCGTCTGTCTGTCTGTCTGTCTGTCTGTCCGTCCGTCTGTCCGTGACCTCAAGTTTTCGTCGACGAGAAAATGCGCTCTCTGTCACTCACTGCAGTGGGTACTGAGTTATATTTTTTCATACATTCGTCATTCATGACAATTTGGAGAAGTGTTGTCCACCCTTTTTTCTTACGACATTTCGTCTCCATTATCTTTATGTCTTTATGAGTCTCATTGATTTTTAAATTCTAGCTAAATTTTAGCTCAAACTACATTATTTTCTGTTTTTAGGCCACAATGGCAATAAATACCGCAGTGAATTGATGAGGCTTAATTGCAATAAAGTTAATTTTAATCACACGCCAGAATTTTGTCTTCTGACTTGTTTTGTCATTTTACGCAGGGCAACGTTATTTCGTTGATGACTTCATAAATTTGTCGTTTTACGCAGGGGAAAGTGAATACTTCGTTGATGACGTCATAAATTTCGCATGCAACGAAGGCTTTTACACGAATGCCACGAACACGAAAAGCATTTGTACGGAAGCTGGTACTTGGAACTACACGCAGATTCAGTGCAGGCGCATTTCTTGTGGACCTCCTGAATTACCATCGCATTCTGCCATACACAGCAACCATGACAACTTCCTCTATGGCACCGAATATGTTTACTCATGTACTAAAGGATACGTTCTCAAGGTGCGAAGCTGAGAAAAGCAGTTACTCATGGTGATTTGGCTGAATTGAACAATCTTTAATGAACTGCAGCTATGCATAATCACTTCTATGAAATGATTTCGTTATCTGTATAAACTTTGATTTTCTATTAACTTTTGATCGAGTTAGTGTCGCGGATCTAGGGATTTTACAAAAAGTTTCACGCAAGGATGAATTGCTGAAATATTGGCATGGACCAATGATTATTTTCCAAGTATCCATCTGTTCGAAATTATTTTTTAAATATCTTTCCATCGGGTTTTATTCATTTTTTATTGTTGATCGTTATTGAGGACTATCGAAATATTGTTATTGCTCCAATTTTTTCATAAATAAAATTTAGTGAAATAAATCCTCCTTATATTTTCTGCTTTTATATTAACTGAGTAGCATTATTTGAAATTATTTGTTTTAAAAGATAGTTCACATCAATAAATTCATTTACTTTCCAAGAACTGGACCGGCAACACGACGGTTATTCGGTGTGGGGCTGCGGGTGTGTGGGAAGGATCGCTCCCCAAGTGCGAGCCCGTCCGCTGTGGGGAGTTCCCTCCGATGGAGCACGCGGGATATAACGTAGTATCCCCTGACCCCAGATATCCCCTAAGCCTGGATAGCGTCGTCACCTTCACTTGCCATGATGGATACCGCATGAACGGTCGAGTGAAAATTTCATTTGAATGTTTTTATTAGGACTTGAAGACATATTGAACACGAAACTGACATATTGAACACGAGGACATATTGAAACGAAACCATTGGCAACAAAATGAATGATTTTTCTAAACGAGGTTAATTCCGTAATTACCAGAAATGCGTCTTGCTGCTCAGTAATACTATTTTGGCTTAAATTTAAAACCAAATTTAACAGTTCCTCATCATTTTCTCTCTAATTTATTCCTGTACGTTAATCTAGTAATAAATTGTATGTACTTTCAGCTTAACTTGTTATCGTTTTTATCATTATTTGATAACTCTCTGCACAGGCCGTGGGTCGCTATTGTGTTCCCACACCGGCAAGTGGTTGGGTGTTGGGGAAAGCAAATGTGAAGAGCAGCTGTGCACAGCGGCGCCCGTCATACGCAACACGTCGCACGTCTTCCACGAGCTGGCACGTCCTCAGACGTCCACCTACCGCTGCCTCGACGGTTACAAACTTAACGGCACGAACACTACACTCACCTGCAGCTATGGCGTCTGGTCCCTCCCAAGGTGAGGGAAGATTCCTCCCAGGAGCATAAGTTCAGTCTTAAAATGCCTAGCAAATTACGGACCAGGCAATAAGTCCAGTAGCTATCTCAATCAATCGTCAGCTATGGAAAGATCGGGTTCCAAAGGCCGGATCCCTTGTGAATCAAGTCACGAAAAATTCAAGAATCGGCAACAGGCCATGGGCCTATTATTTCAACGCCAACACTTCTATTCTATTCTATTCTATTCTATTCTATTCTATTCTAAGATTGCATGCATCCCTTGATGCAGAGTTTATTGTGACAGTAACGTTGGTCCACTAATGTCTGCTGGTAGGTAGTTTCTTATTCGCCTTACTGACAGCAATGTCTTAGCTGTGTCTGACGAAAGCTGAGCATCACAGGCAGTTGTTGTGTCATTAACTGCTGGAACGTCAATACTAGTGTCGTTGGCTCCATAGCCAATTCTGATAGATTCTGCTAAAATTCCTAAAAGAGCATTCAAGACAATCTCTGCTACAGTACTGAAATTTAATGAACAGGTTATGTACCAATTTCGTTTTAAATATGTTACCATATGAATGTTACATCATATGTTACAATATGTCATATGAATGTCATATGTTACCATATGAACATTTAACCATAACCATTAACATGTGAACATTTAACCATATTCTGCACATGTTATAAAAGTTTTGCTTGTCTAGGTTTACGTGCGATCCTGTTAACTGCTTTGAGCCTCCCATCCCCGCGAACGGCAAGATCACGGCCGAGCATTTCAACCTGGGCAGCGTGGCGCAGTACAGCTGCACGTCCGGCCATACCTTGCGGGGCACCGCCTCTATCATGTGCGGTCCTGACGGAAAATGGCATGGCAATGTACCCTACTGCGAGCCTGTACATTGTGGCATGCCCGAGGTACGCAATGCTCCACTTAACGCTTTGGACTTTGTTTTGCAGCGCGATATAAATTTTTATTTGCAGCACCTTTTCAAATTTGTTGCATCTGTGTTGAATTTTAAAATTTTTCGCACAAACACCGGTTCAAAATTGTATCAGTGCAGTTTTTTAAATGAACATGAAATAATTCTGAGTGTGGAAATTAGAATATTTTACGCTCGAGGTTGCAGACTGGCAAAGATAGCAATTGAAGCAGTAAGTTGCAGGTTCGAGAGCGGCGACTAGCTCTGAAAATCCTTCTATGACAGCCCGAGACGGCGAGATCTTCAACGCTGACACAACACATACAATAATCTTAATTCATGTCCCAAAGATATTTATTTATTATCATCAGTAAACATTATTTACTCGCGCTAATATTGATCATGTGTGTGGTGCAGTCTCCAGAGAGCGGCAGTGTATCCGTGTCTGGCACTGTGTTCAAATCCGTGGCCACGTATGCATGCATACGTGGCTACGTGCTGCGCGGCAACACCACGCGCGAGTGCGACGAGTTCGGCGCCTGGTCTGGACTTCGACCGAGCTGCTACAGTGAGATTTTAAGACTGAGATATCAATCAATACTCTTTGACATATGGGAACAATATCTAAGATGGTTTCATAGATATTTAAATATAAAATTATAAATGAATCATGATGATGAAACTTGCTCAAGCATCCAAACAATATGTTGAAGGCTAATAAGCATCTGGGATAAAACGATACCATTCGTTCCCCAGAGGAGAACTGCGGTGAGCTGGCCGCCCCAAAGCACGGCTTCGTGATGGGCGTCTCGACGCTCTTCGGCGACCACATCAAGTTCGGCTGCGAGCCTGGGCACGTGTTGAGCGGGGCTCACGTGTCCACGTGCCTGCATACCGGAAACTGGTCCGATGTGCCGCCCACGTGCACGGGTATGTACTTTAACCGTCCACTGGCCGTGTACGTGCTTGGTCCTTCCACGTACACTCATTCAATGGCTCTTGCATTTAAGCTACCATGGGAACCACGGAACAACGTATTTGACGCTCAGTACATTCGTTATGAAAGGATATGTGTTTTTGCTGCATGCATGAAAAACCGCAAAAATATCGCTGGGAAGCTAATATTGAATAATGGGTATTGACTTACAAAAGACATAATATTTGTATCAGTAACGCAACAATAGGTTGAATAACAGGAAAAATAGTTTGAATAGTTTATGCTAAACAGATTTACCTTGAAAAAATATAACTCAGTACTCACTGCATTGAATGACAGAGTGCATTTCATCGTCGACGAGAACGTGGTCACGGATGGACAGACGGACAGACGGAAGGACATGACGAGCCCTATAGCGCCTTTTTCTATAAATAAGAAAATGCGCTAATTAGCATAGAATAATTTTTTTTCATTTAAAAATTATTTGTTGCTTAAAGTTATATTTTAACTTAGCGGTGCAATGCGGCTCTCCTCCGGCGCCGCCCAACACGATGCCTCTAGCGCTGGCCAGCTCCGAACGTCTGCCCTACAACACGACGCGGAGCTACAGCTGCTCTGAGGGCCACGTCCCTAGAGGGGACCTTAGCATCAGATGTACTGAGGACGGCTCTTGGTCCCCTCCTCCGGCGCCGCCCAACACGATGCCCCTAGCGCTGTCCAGCGAGGAACGTCTGCCCTACAACACGACGCGGAGCTACAGCTGCTCTGAGGGCCACGTCCCTAGAGGGGACCTTAGCATCAGATGTACTGAGGACGGCTCTTGGTCCCCCTTCAGAGGGCAGTGTTCAAGTGAGTTCAAATTCAGGCATCAATGAGGCACTTATCATTCGAAAAAGAGGGAGAAACTTCTTTTTCTTTTTAATGAGCATTATTTAGCTCCTTCCAGTTCAGTTGTGCCAATTATCATTCGAAAAAGATGGAGAAACTTCATTTTCTTTTTAATGAGCATTATTTAGCTCCTTCCAGTTCAGTTGTGCTTTATTCCTGTGAATGTGCTGTTGAAACTTCTTTTTATAACTCTAAACGCCAACATAGGGAGCTCTCATTAAACCTTATTGTAGTTTTTACAGATGTCAAAGAATTGTTTTGGATTAAAGAAGTCGTCAATCTTTCTCAATCAGAAATGCCGCATGTAATTTTTTTTCGGAGAGTTTGGAACCTTTTTATAACTCGAAACGCTAACATAAGGAGGTCTTTTGAAACCATATTGTAGTTTTTACAGATTAAAAAAATTATTTAGAAGAAAGAAGTCATCAATCTTTCCCAATCAGAAATGCCGCATGTATATTTTTTCGGTGAGTTTGGAACCTTTTTATAACTCAAAACGCCAACATAAGGCGCTCTTTTAAAACCATATTGTAGTTTTTACAAATGTAAAAAAATTATTCAGAAGAAAGAAGTCATCAATATTTCCCGATGAGAAATACCGTATGTATATTTTTTTCGTAGAGCTGTCGTGTGGCCGGCCCGTGGTGAACACCAAAGGCGCAGTGATCGAGGGTCGCTCGTTCTACTACAACGATAAGGTCGTCGTGCGCTGTCCAGAGGGTGAGTAGTCTGGTGAGTGAGGCTCTCAAATACAAATATTAACAATTGTTTTTGCAATTATTAGTTAGCATCGCAATGTACTTATTGAGAAAATCGTACATCTTCAACATGCGAGGACCGTACGTTTTCGAAATCATTCGAGGTGTGCCATTCTACGGATGCTGGGATATCAGGTGTACATGGTAGTTTTTAGATGCCTGTGATATGAGATTTTGATTAGATGAAACTAAATTCATGTAAAATTTTATCATGACCTATTAATGTTTGTAAAGAGGTGATTGTGTGATAGCTGTATTATTATTATTTTATGATGAGTGTTCGATAATTGCCCGATGAAAGTGTGGTGATAGTCGATATAATGGTGTTGTGGCGATTGTGTGATGATTCTGTAATGATTGATGTCCGAATTTAGCACTAATTGCCATTGGCAATTCTTTCGATTGTTCTAACAGTTTTTCTAATATTATTATTGTCCGCTAAATTAAAAATGAACGACCGTGTTGGTGACATCAGAATGCTTATGATTTAACAGAATACACCGTGTACAATGATCTCGGAACATTAACTGCAAAAAATTCCGCACAAGCAAGCAGATAACGAATGATTGTAAAAATACTCATTAGACAATATTAATTCTGCAGGATCGTCAGCAAACGAGCCGTCAGTGCTGACATGTCAGTCAGACGGTACCTGGTCGTCTGAAGCCTCCTGCACCGTATCCTGCAGCAGGAACTGCCTGCACGGCGGAGTATGCGTCAGTAACAGCCACTGCTCCTGCACACCAGGCTATTATGGCAGCCACTGTCAGCTCGGTGAGTGATAAATGTAAGCTTCTGCGGGAAATACCAACTCCAAGGCAGCTTGAACATTGAAGTTGAGTCATTTTTTTGCGCATTTTCTCATATATACAAAAAATATAACTCTGTACTCACTGCAGTGAGTGACAGAGAGCGCATTTTCTCGTCGACGAAAACGTGGTCACGGATGGACGGACGGACGGACAGACAGACGGACATGGCGAGCACAATAATGCATTTTTTCCATAAATGAGAAAATGCGCTAAAAAGGTGCTATTGTGCTCGTCATGTCCGTCCGTGATTTCACGTCACGGACAGACGAGAAATTGCGCTCTCTGTCACTCACTGCAGTGAGAACTGATCTAATTTTTATTCATTCGTTTTTTACATTTTCTTTTAAATTGGGACTAGTTTAACGGAAGTTATTTGTCTTTTCTCCAGATGGATTCCAGTCAATCTTGATAGTTTTGGCTCATTAGGATTAGGCCGTCAGAATAAGGGCATCCCCAAATGATTCTGAATTATCCCGAGATGGCACATTGAACGAAAATTAAAACAGTTTGTCTCGGGAAACTTTTAATTTTCAGGAGGAATGCCTCCGCTTCCAAATACAAATATCAAGTGATATTTATCAATATAACAATAATTTTCAGATTTTACAGTGCAAAGCCATGTATTGATTTTAAAATGTGGGATCTTTTTTCAACTGATAACGATTGCCGCTCTGCACCAAAAAGCTCTTGATCTTCGCCACGTAAATGCTCTCTNTAGATTTAGATCAGCGGCAGATCATTTAGATCATTTTAGATTTAGATCAGCGGCAGATCATTTTAGATTTAGATCAGATTTTAGCGGCAATAGCACTGTCATGATCTTGTCTGTCCATTCCTCTCACTGCCACCCACAGCAACCTGCAGTAGCGGCTGCCGCGGCGGCCGCTGCGTCGGCCCTAACGCGTGCCTCTGCCCCCACGGCGTCGTGGCGACATCGTGTCACAGGTAACGTGACTTAGCTCCCGCCATGTCGTACTACATTCACTTCATATCTCACGTTAAAATTCAAATGGATACATAAATTTCAATTAGATCAACAACTCTTCAAAATTTGTTTTCCATAATTGGTTTCATTTTTCTGGCATAAGCCTCAAAACTATAGGTTTCCTTTATCTCCTCAGAAAGACCTTTATCTCCTCAGAAAGAATATTCAAGCTTTTATTTGTAGAAAAAGATACTTGCTGGTGATGATTATTATTAAAACCTCAAGTGCATATATGTAATATTTTTATTAGCGTATATCTGCGCTTGCAGAAATTCCCCCATTTTCTTCCAAAATCTGTGAGGTAAAAATACTGATTGATTTTCTACTTGCAGGTCTGGAGTTGACCTTGCGTACGACGACATCACCAATTACAATGACTGGGACGTGGCGGCGCTGAAGAGGCGAGTGGGCGGATCGTCTATTACAAGTCGGCTTGCCAGGACAACCTAGACAGCGAGCGAGCAAAGTTTGGGGCACGAAAACGAAATGCTGGCCGATGTTTCCCAGCGTAAAACGCACATATTTCTTCGTAACTAGTGTATGGAAGATAGGTTTACATTCAAATTTATGTGTTCAGGCTTCTTTAGCATTGCGTTTCGCTCAATTACATTCAAGCGATTAGCTTGGTTTTTTCCAAAAAAATGCGCGAATGCACATCGAAGCGAGAATTTCTGTAGAAACAAGATTACTCGTACTGGCCGCGGTTGTCACGGCAGCGTAATGAAAATATCTCGTATTAAAAGAAATCAACGGCAAAGTGAACCTGCAATGACCTAAACTACACATGTGATACATGAAGTCAGCATCGTTCCATTCACTTTTCGTATCGAAGTATACGGGAAAACAAGGCACTTTAGTACCTATAATAAGATATAAGTTTCGCTCTCTTATTTAGTCTACAATTGTAAACAATGTTCTACTAAGTCACTTAAGATTCAATTACTGATAATTATTCTATTAGTTTTTCAACGACAGGAATTACTTCTCAATCTATATTATATGCACTCACCGAATGAATTTATCATGTAGAATTTCCCCGGAATATTTTGAGGTGCAAATTTCACAATCGATTGGTTGGTGGCTACATTTTAAAATCAAGTTAAGACACATATCAGACGCTTGCAACGAAGAAATGTTAGTGCCTAATGTTGAGTATTTACTCGAAATCCTCTGCTTTTCTAACGCGGAAACCCACATTTTTTCCCTATATGCTATATCGGACTGATTTCAGCTACGACTAAATCATGGAGTCACTGAAAGACTGCAGTTCCAGTTCTTTTATTTTCAATATTATTAATATTTACAGTACACGAATCCTGCCTTATATTCGTTGCACAGCATGCCTAGCCAAGTCTTTTTTATAAATTCTTTATTTACATTTCGGTAATACTAAGATATACATAAGACATAATCGTAGTAATAGTGATTTTCTTACCTGTGAACCAGCTGGTTTTAATAATGATTTGATACATAATTACGCACTGAAAATCCAAAATTTGATAACGAGTATCTTATTTACTTGTTTGGTCGCTTCGCGCAACACATGTTCGTTTCTATTAAAAGAATACGTTAATTCTGTGCTTACAATAATTTCTTGCATCCCTTTAAAACTAAATTTGTCATTTCAACAATCCATTTGATCGTTAATTAATATTGGTTAAACATTACAAACTATTTTCCTCAATTTCACCATCTAATTTAGACCGTAGAACAATTATTCGATTCGTATATGGAAGCGAAACCTGGGTTTCAAAACCACTCAAGTTGATGATTGAAGTTAAAAATGAACTCTAAATTAGAAGGGTTTTAAGATAATTACACGAGAAAAATAAAAATCCCCTTTGAACCCTAAAATCTGTTCAACAAGAAGTCATTTTCCAGTGTTCAATCATCATGAACCTTTACTTATCCTGTACACAAAGCGAGCTAGAGAAACCTTGAGATCAATACGGCACATTATACAACTTCCTTACAACACGAACCCGTCAAAAAGAATCCTACAAAGATTAGCTTGAATTATGTTCTTCTAATAGAAATTCATGATCGAGAATATATTCTTAACCATTACTGATCAGTTGAGAATAATAACCCAGAGTCAACTTGATTCCGATAGACTGGATCATTTAGAATCCATTAATTCCATTTGTATTAGGCAGACATTAACCAATTTCAGAAAAATTCAAACTAAGAAAAAAAGTTTAAATCCCACAGTATTATTTCCATCACTACGCGTTTACCCAAGTTATCGAAAAAATGTTCAAATTCCCTAAATAAGCCAAAAGATAATGTACAAAAGTGTATACGAGTACAAAAATATCGTAAATTAGTTTAACACTCTGAAACGAGACGATTGCGTAATACTGAGAGCAGACACTTGGTGGGAAATGTTACAAAAAGATCGGCATAAATTGTTGCAATATACATGCAGCAAGCAATGATTGCTACATGTATATTAATACAGCAATTATTTAAACCGCCTTTTCTTTGCTTTTCATAAGAAAAATTGGTCATAAGAAGTTTATTTTACGTTCGAAACGTGTCTCTCAAGTCTTGGAGTCGAGATCTCTTAATGGAATTTTCAACCTTTCTGCTTTGACAATCCTAAAAATCGCAGTTCCATCAGACATCCAAGAATATTCAGAAAAAAAAATATTTACGACGATAGAAAGAAAAAAAATCAAGACAAGAAATGAAGTCTTAATAATTGCGACAAAAGAGCTATAACAAACGCACGAAGCTTGAACGACAAGCAAAAGGACGGTAAAATATTCAAACCACAATATAACAAATAATTAATTGAGAAATAGAGGATAAATGTTCATATTGAGCATATAAAACTGAGATGCACATTGAGATTCATTAAAAGCCATGACCGAAGCTACATGTGAGCAAAATAATAAAAAACTCGCGCTATATTCCAATTAATATATCAGAAGCATGTAAGTAAATTATTAAGTGAGGCTATAAACTTAATAACTCAATCTAGTATGGGATAAAATAAACACATACGTTGCCATTTCCATTTCCTAAAAATTTCCTCTCCAACACTCGACTTGCAGCTACCATTTGTCGGGTATTACCTCGAAGAAAATCAATGGGCCATATAATATTATTGAGAATATGAGAATAATATTATCTAAAAAATCAACCCTTGAAAAAACAGACGAATCTGTGCAGGTTAAATGCGGAAATAGCCTCAGAGTTTTTTGTGACCCTGCGTCTCTGCCACAAAAACGAACTAGAAATCGTTCCTATACATTCAAACTCCCAGCCGCGCCATTCTATTGTTTGTCTTTGACGGCTTAACGGAGACGAAAAATGCATAGCTACCTAAATGGGGTTAACTAATTTCAGGCAGAATAAAGATTCAATAACATAATTGTGACTAAACGAACTAGTTTCTTTCAGTCAATGAATCCAATCCCCAGGCGACTCTCAAATCAAAAATTTCTTGCAAAAATTAAAATAACTCCGTTTCTACACTTCAACAAAAGCTGAACATCGTCGCAACCTGGGTAGCCTGAAATTGTTTATGTATAAGCTTTCGGTATGACTTCAAGTGCAAATTATAAATGCAAGATCTTTCGTTTACTGGCATTTTCCTACGATAGCCACTGTTACAAGACTGACGATATATACACAATTCATTAATGCATGAAAAAGTTAGTGAAAAAAAGTGATGAAATCCAAGTCTTGATGGAATACTGAAATGCGCGCGCAAAAAATTGACATTTAAAATGTTCTCCTAATGAGTAGATTAGCGTCTTTACTTACAGACACCTGCGGTGATGAGCGCAAAATCTTTCCAAAAAGATAATTTCAGGAGCAAAACTCTGAAAACGATTATCCCGATAAGCCTTTGACCAAGAAAAAACATTTTCGCAAAACAAAATGTAAACTAACAGAACTGTTAAGTTTTCGAAAACTCTAAAAACGATTATCCCAATAAGCCTTTGACCAAGAAATAACATTTTCTCAAAACAAAATGTAAACTAACATAACTTTTTTGTTTTTGAGGTCTAATCTGATGATGTTTCCAGAATTCTATTAAAACTCGTTACTTCTATTTCCGATCCAAACAAAGAACTTGGCTGAAATATATGATAGATGATGGATGAGCGAGTTAGTCGGTGCAGATAATTAAAACTAATGAAATATTTTACACGACAATATAAAAGGGAGCTTGGTGCTTGATAGCACAGACGAGCACATTAAACATAAGGTTGACACGGCTGACAACGTCTCAGCGTCTCCACGGATGATCAATCCAAAACGTGTAGGCAATATTCCCAGAACATCTGAAGGATATTATATGAATATATTTATGTTACCAGTTAAAAAGCGACTCAATCGGTATCCTAGAATACGGATTTCTGATGAGGATTTTCGAATAATTTTACAAATTATGAATTGTTTAAATAAAGACCGGGAAAATTTTTCGACGTCCACTGAACCCTAGAGGCAATTTTTTTAAATATAAAGACACAGTAACCAATATGAAAATTATTTAAATTGTTCGGAAAAATAGGCGCAGTTCATAGGAACCAATTCACTGTCTTTAACGACGAAGGCACTTCCAAGGAATCATCCGAAAAGTTTGAAGCCATTTATTTCCACAAGCACTATTCTCCTTTTCTTCAAATCACGTTTGTATAAAAATTTCTATGGGCTTTAACTGCAGGCAAAAATTCATTTCATCACAATATTCAACGTTCACAGCACAAATCTGTTCAATAACGTTTTCCTTTTTACGTCAGTTCAACAACGCTTACACTTTTCACACGGTGCAATTGTTTTCACTTCTTCCCTAGGCAATAAATGCACAACGCTAATCCACAAGAGATAGAGTTTGTGTAACATAGTAACATTCAGAGTTCAACAAGACACAATAATAATGCACTTGGTTTATTATATACAATGGACTTAATACAATGTCTCGTGTGCCACAACGAGATAGTGACTTATTTATCCTTCATATTGAATACTCCGAAAAGTCAAATAACAAATAATCGAGAGTTCTTAAGAACTCTGGCGTCATGAATTTAAAAATTTTAATTGACCAATGTGAGGAGATTTATAAATACCTAATTATGGTTCATATTATCACATATCAGAACTAACTTGAATTAATTGGTACAGACTCCATAACAATATCATTTGCTTCGTTACAAGGTAGTGGGAAGTGCACGCTCACTCAATACGCTCGCGCTAAATCAAGAATGAATTTAGCCATCAGTTTCAGAGACGCTTGTTACCTCACTACCTTTTTTATTTATACCAACAAAGCACAGCCTTTTTTCTCAACGGGATACGTGGAAACAAGCTGAGGCAGCTTGTGAATTAGATAATTAATTTTCGACGTCCACTGACGTCGATCCATTTTTATTCACTGGTTTGTGAATTCAATAATTAATTCACGAATTAACGTAATGTGATAGAAGGGGCTTAGATGTAGGCACACTTGGCTGGTTTCACATCAGTCGTCGTTGTATTTGCGTTGGATTTACCGTTGATGTTTTTGGGGTTGTAAGTAGTGACGAGGTTATTGAACTGCTTGCCGTTGGTGTGTGAGGAGTACATGTTAGGGTCTGCTGTCTGAACCAGATTGTCGCACCTGAAAATAAATTCATATTTAAGATTGTGCTGATAATGTTGTATTGATGATGGATGAGCGAGTTAGTCGGTGCAGATAATTAAAACTAATGAAATATTTTACACGACAATATAAAAGGGAGCTTGGTGCTTGATAGCACAAACGAGCACATTGAACATAAGGTTGACACGACTGACAACGTCTCAGCGTCTCCACGGATGATCAATCCAAAACGTGTAGGCAATATTCCCAGAACATCTGAAGGATATTATATGAATATATTTATGTTACCAGTTAAAAAGCGACTCAATCGGTATCCTAGAATACGGATTTCTGATGAGGATTATCGAATAATTTTACAAATTATGAATTGTTTAAATAAAGACCGGGGAAATTTTTCGACGTCCACTGAACCCTAGAGGCAATTTTTTTTTAAAATATAAAGGCACAGTAACCAATATGAAAATTATTTAAATTGTTCGGAAAAATAGGCGCAGTTCATAGGAACCAATTCACTGTCTTTAACGACGAAGGCACTTCCAAGGAATCATCCGAAAAGTTTGAAGCCATTTATTTCCACAAGCACTATTCTCCTTTTCTTCAAATCACGTTTGTATAAAAATTTCTATGGGCTTCAACTGCAGGCAAAAATTCATTTCATCACAATATTCAACGTTCACAGCACTGATCTGTTCAATAACGTTTTCCTTTTTACGTCAGTTCAACAACGCTTACACTTTTCACACGGTGCAATTGTTTTCACTTCTTCCCTAGGCAATAAATGCACAACGCTAATCCACAGGAGATAGAGTTTGTGTAACAGAGTAACATTCAGAGTTCAACAAGACACAATAATAATGCACTTGGTTTATTATATACAATGGACTTAATACAATGTCTCGTGTGCCACAACGAGATAGTGACTTATTTATCCTTCATATTGAATACTCCGAAAAGTCAAATAACAAATAATCGAGAGTTCTTAAGAACTCTGGCGTCATGAATTTAAAAATTTTAATTGACCAATGTGAGGAGATTTATAAATACCTAATTATGGTTCATATTATCACATATCAGAACTAACTTGAATTAATTGGTACAGACTCCATAACAATATCATTTGCTTCGTTACAAGGTAGTGGGAAGTGCACGCTCACTCAATACGCTCGCGCTAAATCAAGAATGAATTTAGCCATCAGTTTCAGAGACGTCAGTTACCTCACTACCTTTTTATTTATACCAACAAAGCACAGCCTTTTTTCTCAACGGGATACGTGGAAACAAGCTGAGGCAGCTTGTGAATTAGATAATTAATTTTCGACGTCCACTGACGTCGATCCATTTTTATTCACTGGTTTGTGAATTCAATAATTAATTCACGAATTAACGTAATGTGATAGAAGGGGCTTAGATGTAGGCACACTTGGCTGGTTTCACATCAGTCGTGGTTGTATTTGCGTTGGATTTACCGTTGATGTTCTTGGGGTTGTAGGTAGTGACGAGGTTATTGAACTGCTTGCCGTTGGTGTGTGAGGAGTACATGTTAGGATCTGCTGTCTGAACCAGATTGTCGCACCTGAAAATAAATTCATATTTAAGATTGTGCTGATAATGTTGTATTCTTATTTGTGCTACGGTAGTGTTATTCATTTCGTAAAAATGCGTCTGAAGGAATAGACTTGAACATAAGGATAAAAATCTGACTATTGAATGCGTATTAAATAAACAGCAAAATAATAAAACTTGGAAAAAACGCCTCATAAACTGTTCAATACATGAACTAAAAAATTGGGCTTAGTTGAAACTTGAAACGCAAAACTCTCCAATTTCGCAGCCCTGTCTTTTAGTCGCTCCATTACACGGGAGGTGCGTAGCAATTATCAGGATGCAAAGACGAAATACAAGCGATATAAAATTATGGTGTTTCCTAATAAAAGTTTTATTTAATGGGGAAGTTTGTGACTATTTGTGACATAGACAACAAGCTCCCTAGGAATGAAAAAAAAAACTCTATACAATTACATAATTCATAAATCTTCAAACATGACAAATTGAGTTATGTAATAATTTGTGTCAAGTTAATAACATTTTCAAATGCTGAACGATTTCCCAACGGCGAAATTTCGATGAAACACTGATGGATCAAAATTTAACATTGATATTTCAGGTTTACAAAATGCGGTTAGTAAGTGCAAGTTAGCAGAGAATTTAAGCACGAATGTGCAATAGGAAGCCAATTAATCAAATCTTTTACATATTAAGTAATAATAAACATAATTGTAGGGAAGAAACTTCAATTAAAAATAATTACATGAACGACATTGACAAGGAATAACATTATAACAGACACGAAATAACATTATTAAATGGTCCATTTAGTCGTAGCCAGATATCGCAGACGGCGTGCTAGATTTAAAATAAAAACAGAAAAAAACACTGCGAAGCATATCTATTACTTAATCAGCAAGTAATGTAGCGAAGCAACTAGCTTTTACGTCCGGAAAAAAATACATAGTGGAGGTTGATTTTTTAAACCGATTTACCTGCTTAAACTGCCACAAGCGGCCTGAGAATATAATTAAAGGTCAATAATAACCGGCCAGCTGAACATTGAACAATGTTCGCGCAGTTGATGCACTGGCAAAACTTCGAAGAGCGAAAAGAGAAGCAGAAAATTCAAAAAAGAACGATTCAAATTTTCTGGTATTTACGAATACATTCATCTAATTTGCCATTTATTTAATGAAGGTAAGATCCATCAAAAGCTAGAGATCATTGACAGTGCAACAGAACGATGCGACGATGTAAAATCTCGGCTGTTCACTCACCCAAAAGTTCAGATTCGATTTGAGATTTCCTTACATGTCTTCTAACTTAAAGAGGGTGATCAGCACGACGGGCAGTTATACCACCACCTGTTTCAGTCAGTCACTATGTGTGAATTTTTATTTTAGCATTATTTGAATTCTTATCATAAAATTTTTTTCTATCATTCATCGGGCGAGCCCATACATTGTAAATCTTGAGGATTTGCTTATAGATTCATACATCGGCCTCCACTACTTCAAATGAGGTCTAAACGTTGAATTAGCCGTCACTTTTTATTATAATAGCAAATTATTCTAACAACATGATTACGTTGCGACTATAAAACTCATCACATAAAACAAAGAAAATTGAGGGACATAATTTTACCAGTTAAAAAAAGCTAAATCTATACTTTGACACACAGGACAGAGGCTCGTATCTCAACTGCATTGGTACTGACTTGTTAAGTTTTGACTCTAAGTAGGGCGTGCCGGAGTAGGAGTGAGAGTACTCGTCGCCACGACACTTGCGTGAGAACAAAAAGCCCAAGATGAAGCCAATCACCAGCGCGGCGACGCACGCCGTTGTCACGGCGATGGCCAGCGTCTCAGCCGAGTAGATGGGCGCGCCTTCAGACGTACAAATAGAATGAAAAAAAAATTCCAAAATATTTCAAAGTGATCCTACGAAGCATTGGCAGGAAGACAAAATAAACACAGCGTAATAAAAATTAATTAATAATTTCCTAGTCAATTCATTAAGCAGAATAAAAACCTCAAAATAATGCACAATCAGCGCCAGTAGCTTACAATGGCGAAGAAAATTACACAATTTAGCTTATTTTCATCTAATTGGTCAAGTCCGAGGTTGGTCCTTAACCGAAATTTAGTGATATTCAATCCAGTACAATGTCAGGCGGAAGTTAAGGGGATAACGACGAACCTTATAATAAATGTAAAGTAAAAAGAATTAGTTACGATAAGGAATACAAATAAGTTAAATTAACAACGATCAATAAAATCAATTCAAGCGTGAATAGCAAAATGAACGACATGCAACAACTTAACCTTTGTAACCAAATGAAAAATAACTCCGCCCTTGTCTATCCAAACTGTGCTCGGAGAAAACGGATTAGTTCAATCAAAATCAAAAGAGGAATTGTAAGTGGAAGCTGTTGGGAAATAAAACATGTTATAAATAGCAATTACGCGGCAAAGTTCGTGCTTGGCTGTGGACAAGAATAGTTCCAGGGAAAGTTAAGAATGGACCGTGTCGAGTTCTGCAGAGGCACCAGGGGCTATTCTTTCAAAACTCGCTAAGTGAACGTAAGTACTTACGCTCTATTTTCTTGTCTATGATTGGTGGATTTTGCTTGAAACGCCGTCAATGATTGGCTGATGAACTTACGATCTCTTAACTTTTTTTGAAAGTATAGGCCCAGAGAAGGAGTTAGTGAAATGCAACTCGCTTTAACGTATCAATCTGACATCTTTCCGTGCAGGTCAGCACTATATTAAAATATAAATATGTTCACGAGCTATCAAGTCGGCGTCTGATGGATTCACTACTTTGACAAAAAAATATATCGCCACTTTATTTACGTGTATTGGTTAGAGGAAAATAATTTGGTACGAAGGATGTCAGATTAATAATTAATTAAGAATGCAAGTCTTCATGTGCAACCCTAACACTGGTTAGCCGAAGTCCAATGTGCTTGTCGTGCTCACGAAAACAAAAGCAAAACCTGATCCCATTTAAAATCACTTTCATCAGAAGGTAAATTTTGCCCTCGTTGGAAATAAGCTTTAGCACGCATTTATAATACGGTTTATTAAATCGCATTCAATTATTTTACGGTTTGCTTGAATAATTGAAACATTCTATAACGTTTTAACTCATTCGAATAATCGGAACTTGGATTCCATTGCATTCTCGATTTTTCTCAAGACCATTCACTTAACTGTAGCTCAGATTCGGAAAAATCATAATCATGCACAGAATGTATAACTGCATTCATTAGAATAATTCATTCAATTAAAAACTCGAAATTAAATTTACGAAGTACATACTGTGTACCATATCTCCCCCCAAAAGTATCTTGACTATTTTTTGTGCATTATTACGAACTTAACAATGTCTTGTGATCACATGGATGAATTACAAGCGAATGGTCGGAAAACGCTAGCAAGTGAGCAGTGAAATGAATTGGTGACAATACACTAAAAACTATACGTTATAAATGCATAATTTGATTGTTCACAGTACTCGATTCTATCAGCGTATAGACAATTCGAATGCTAAATTTATATTTGAGGAAGGACTGGCCCAATGCAAAAGATGATGTCTAGTGGCAGCGGTAAGGTCATGGCTCGTTATTTGATTGCCAGGTATTGATCCAGGTATTAATTTATTGCCAGGTATTGATCCAGGTATTAATTTATTGCCAGGTATTGATCCAGGTATTAATTTATTGCCTGGTATTGATCCAGGTATTATTCTATTACCAGGTATTGATTTATTGCCAGGTATTAAATCGCTGTTGATCATCACAACGCGAATAACGGCTTTACTCAAGGTAAATTTAATATCAAGGATTTTTGTCCTTAATTCTGATAGGTGACGGTAAACGCAAGCATGCAAACAAAATCTTGCTTTTGACACTGAGAAACATGCACTTGTATAACTATTAACACAGGAAAAAAATCATTTCCGCACTAACAGAATCGAGAGTGAGAGGCAGAAACCAGTCCTTAACAAGCCAAGTTATTTGAAATGAGCTAAGCGCAAAATCACCAGCTTATCGGTATGGTAATAAGCAGTTTCGATTAAAAAGCTTAATGAAGAACATCTTAATCCATTGCTTAAATATGATTAGCTCAAGAATGAATAAAGGCCAATTATATTGTTAAATGTATATTTAATAAATGTGAAAAGGGAGCAGCGACCCGAAAAGGATTGGTATCTAAACTTGAACGAGATTTTACGCGTTTGATGAAGCGGAAAGCGTTATAATTATCACCTATAATTAGCAACTTGCTGTCGGTAATTAAAACTCATCATAGTTCCTAATTCCCCACAACAGAACGCTTTCACTGCATCATTGCAATGGAGTGTCATTAGTCGGATCAGAGAAACCTTTGAGCCGTTCAAGCAAGAGAAAAGAGTAGCAGTGTAAATGAGCATTAGCAGCTTGAGCAATTGTTCAAGCACTAGTGATTTGATGCAGCAAGTTAGTCCATCACGAGAGCATTTACCAGTTAGTTCAACAGTTTCGACAGTGACTTTGAGCATGTTTGGTAGGCACCTTACAATTTTACCAGTTAGTTCAACATTTTCGACAGTGACTTTGAGCATGTTTGGTAGGCACCTTACAAGACACATTGGACTCGGCATACCTGTGAGCGTTTTTCCATCCTTGAAAACAATGCCGATCTCATCAGCAGCATAGGTACTCCTGGTGTCTTCATCCGAGGGGAGGTAGAGGCCCTTACCACCACGTCCTCCTCCCCCCACTGCTATTCCTCTCACCAGGGGATCTTCGTTGCTTATGGTGTATCCGTTAATATCGTTGGAACCTGGGGGGCTAAGCAGTGGGGGAAGTAGGTGGGTGGCAGGGTACTCAACCTCCCCCGAAGAGGTACCAACGGGGCCCCTTGGTGGTAGCCCTGTAGGTGGGGGAGACGATGTGAGTAGGAAGGAGTTCAAAGGAGGGAAGGTGATGGGTGGGTGTTGCGAACGACGCGTAATGCGGATGGAAAGATGATTTGATTCGTAATTGGAATTAAAACCTGAGAGACTTAGCTATACGATTCTCTTCATTACGTTATTCTACTGATTGAAATATCATCTAATCAGTTTGAAGAAACGTTTAACATCGAAATGAGAAAAATATCGGATAAATTTGTATAATTTTTCCGACGTTATAATTCGCTTAGCTAAAGCTGGAATGAGTGACAAGTTGATGCTGCCGAAAAGAATTTCCGAGGACATCACAAGTTCGTCTCAAAGTCGTATAAGCGAACCTAAACTTAAAATTGTCGCATGATTCTTCATATTGAGAGTAATTATTCAACGAGTNATGCATATCTTACAAACAGAATGCAAACACATGCACGAACATTGAAGATTTGAAAAATAACGCCCGTGATAAAACTCAAAATGAAAGCGAATGAATCGTCACTATCATGCTCACGTGTCAAAAATGATAAAATTGACAAGAAACGACCAAAATGAAACAATTTAAATAAATAAAAATTGAATCATGATTGAAAAGAAAGATCTCACTGCGATAGAGCAAAATATGTATAAAGCTCTATAAAAAAATTGTGTTCTACAGACACGAAAGATGCTTGGCGATTCCGATGAACGAAACATTCTCGCCTGACTTTACCGTAGTAAATATTAATGTCGTCTTGATAATGAAATTTTGAAGTATTCCATAAAAATTACATCGAGATGCAAGTTTCTCTGCATTACGCTATCGTCCTGTGTACGATGCGAGCCATTTTGCTGATTAGGATAATCGTGATGATGAATAACGATAACAATGGCAAGATAAACTTGATAACTCAGTTCGGCATTGATGATATTAGGATACAATAACTATTAGGATACAATTGTATCCTACTATTATAGGACACAATGACTGAAGATCTCTACGATGAAGTCAAACTGTACAAGTGGTGGGATGCATTTGAAGTGAAGTGCGCTGGTGCAGGAGGAGTGCATCAACTAACCCATTAAAGGGTGAGTTGTGAGAGAAGGGGTGAAGTGTGGGGGAGAAGCATGGGGTGCGGGGAAGGAGTGGGAGTCAGCACACTGGCATGGGGGACACATCGCTGGGGGAGTCGTGGTTTCCCCAGACACATCCCCGGTAGCAGCTGCCGCTATACCAGCAACAAAAAACGGGAGAGGAACATGAAAATAAATATAAAAACTAAAGATAAAAAAATGCTGATAAAAACTTAAGATAAAAAACAAAATGCTGCTGTAACGCCAAGATAGGACGAAAAAAATTAATCTGGAGAAAAACGGGGATATAATTGCAAAAAATAATAAATGCTAACATTAGCATTAAAATGTAGCACAAATATTGTTATAAACGTTTGGCAGCCAGAGTATAAAATCGATAAACTGAACACATAGCAAACGAATTAATACAGAATTTACTAGACTTTGAAATAAAACTAGCGACAAAAAGTAATTTTATAAATAAAATGCAAATTGATCATTTTTATAAGGTTAGCATGCGACGAAGAGGAGCGTTTAAACACGGAGTAAGCATCGATAATGTTGAATAAACTGGGAAAGCCAAGAGAAAAACTCGAGGTAAACCATTCACCAAAAAAATACACATCTGGGCTCTCTTAAGTGCATATGTAAACAGATGAACAATAAGTGCGTGTAGGAAATACGTGAACTTAATATAAAATTTGTGTACTGTGCACGCTTAAGAAAAGAACGTAACGAAGTGATCAATCACTGCGACGGTGTGTGTATATGCACGAAAAAAAGTCATCAGCTCATGTCCGCAATTTAAATCGTAAAATCAACACAAAGCAGCCCTATTCAGAACTACATATTACAATATTAGAAGCAGTTCAATGGCTTAGATATTTTCCACTGCTTCACCGTAAAGTTTCCCTCGCCGAAAGTCAACTAACATACATCAGCAATGTGAAACATCGTAATTATAACAAATCACCCCAAATAACACCTTATTTATCACCAACAAGAAGTAAAAAGGTTTAAATTACCCGCGAGTTTAAACACCAGGTAGGCTAAGTGGACCAGGTATGGTTCACAGGTAGGCTAAGTGAACCAGGCATGGCAACGCAACAACGGTTGCCTGCATGAGCGACTGTAAGAACGTGCAAGAACTACTATACTTCTAATACTATATACTATATATATACTTCTATATACTATATATACTTCAAGAACTACTATACTTCTTAAAGATATAAATGACGTTCGTAGTCAGACTGTGACTGTACGTCACTCATTTACAATGAATTCCATAGGATTACAGTTAAATGTAAACACCGCCACCACCACCACTATCAATGGTATAAAAGACGTTCGTAGTCAGACTGCGACTGTACGTCATTTATGTACAATGAACTCCAGAGGATTACAGACCAGTGTAACCTCCACCATCACCAGCCCAATACCCAGTAGAAAGGCGTTACATTATTTACCGAGTAACAAACATTGATGATAATATAAAGTTATAGTTTGCATTAGATTCGTCTTTATTCTTTATTGCGAGCTCATCGCCCGCTTTAACGTTGAAATGAAAATTTGATCTCACCAGCAACAGGCGACGGCGCATCGACAGGCTCCAGACTGTTCTCGCCCTCTGGTGAACGAGAAGAGGTTAGTACGACACGCACGCCAGATTAGAGTTACAATAGCCACGGGTTAAGACTTTACTTTCGTATGATGTGCAAGATGGTATGTACATTCAATAATAAACAAGAGATGGTAACGAGAAACAAGATTATAGAGACTAACGGATGCCTAAAGATACGTTTTTATTGCTAATGGATGTCAAAATCCAGAAAAAAGTCGCCACAATTTTTGGGGCAATTTCCCGGTTTGTGCATGATAAAGAAGCGTGGCTCTTGAATTATAGAAATTGTTGATAACAAATGGTATTCGATGGTGAGCTTGTAACGGATGGATATTGAAACGTAGTATTCTGTAGTAGATGGAAAGATAACGCGAAAAAGCCACGAGAACAAAAGGTTTACATAAAATGCGGGCGAAAAATTGCTTACCTCTTCATTGTGTAAAAGACTTCAGGACATTCGATAAGTTTTAATTACAGATGAGGACTTTCGTTCTTTCACAATTGAGTTCTATTCTCATGGCTAATTATAGATGAGGACTTTTTTTTACAATTGTGTTCAGGTTCACAAGGAACATGAAATAAAATGACATTATTTAAGCTTCATGTTCGCAAGGAACGTGAAATAAAATGACATTGTTCAAGCAAAATATTACAGGCTCATGTAAGAGATATCTACATTAACTACTGGGCACTCACTTTTAGGGCACTGATAGTGATCAGATAAGGGATGATCTACCTTAACTACTGGGCACTCACTTTTAGGGCACTGATAGTGATCAGATAAGGGATGATCTACATTAACTACTGGGCACTTACTTTTAGGGCACTGATAGTGATCAGATAAGGGATGATCTACATTAACTACTGGGCACTTACTTTTAGGGCACTGATAGTGATCAGATAAGGGATGATCTACATTAACTACTGGGCACTTACTTTTAGGGCACTGATAGTGATCAGATAAGGGATGATCTACATTAACTACTGGGCACTTACTTTTAGGGCACTGATAGTGATCAGATAAGGGATGATCTACATTAACTACTGGGAAACAATCTCACTTTTGGGGCACTGATAATGAACTCCAGACGTGACGTTCTGGAAGACAGGTTTGCTGAGGTTGCTGTGAGCGGACGCACAAACTCCGGCGCCCTCGAACCACGCGCAGTATGGGTCCTGGAGTGCCACGCAGTCGCTGCGCACGCAACACAAGCATGACTAACATGGCAGGGATCAGATAAATAAATCATAGATAAACTTTACTCAGACACTTCATGTAAAATTAACATAAAAACTCACGTTTAGCTTTTTTTTAAGACATAGGGACATTTCGATTTTATTTTAAAAGCGAAATTTCGTTATAATAGAATTAGCCGTTCTAGATGAAATTTTTATACAAAAGTCACCCTACTTTAAACTTTACTCAGACACTTACGGTAATGTAAAATTAGCATCATAACACACGTTTAACTTTTTTTGAAGACTTTGGAACAATTTGTTTATTTTAAAAGCGAAATTTCGTTGGAATAAAACTAGCCGTTTTAAATGAAAGTTTTATACACAAGTCACCCTACTTTAGAGCAAACGTGAAATTATTATTTCTCACTTTTTGAATGTATAAAAATGACTTGGAAGGCAAAAGGCGAAAATAGATGATTAGGCGGTAAGAAAAAAAAACAGAATTGAAGGAATTGTGACTGATGCAATTAAGGCGAGTCTGGATGCAAGAGTCTGGATGCAAGAGTCTGGATGCAAGAGTCTGGATGCAAGAGTCTGGATGCAAGAGTCTGGATGCAAGAGTCTGGATGCAAGAGTCTTGGACGCAAGAGTCTGAACGCAAGAGTCTTGGACGCAAGAGTCTGAACGCAAGAGTCTTGGACGCAAAAGTCTGAACGCAAGAGTCTAGTGACAGACCTGCAAGAAGTAGCGCGGTGACAGCGGTGCAGAGGGACGGCTGTCACGGCATCGTCGGTGATGACGATGAGCTTCGTCTCTCCGGTGGTCTGTTGCGCCAGCTGTAGGTTAGCGACCGGCGTGGGCTCGTCAAACAAGTGAATTTCCTCGATGATGACGCTCTCCACTTGCCTGCACGTGCATTTTGCAATGAAAGAGACATTCCACAAAGTTATTCAACAAAAATATATAAAAGACGTATTGAACAAAAAAATATTGAATACCGGTGTCTGGGGAGACCAGGTTAAAGGTTAATTCGAGTAACCCTGGGACAATAAAATCATTTTTTACGGGTTAAAGGTTAATCCAGGTATACCTGAGACAATACAATCACTTCTTTAATGCCATTCCAGGCGGTTATGTTGAATAATTTAACGTTCGGAGCACAGCAAATAAAGACACAGATTCATACAGAACTCACTCATTAGAGTGCGGGGCGAGCGCGTTGATCATCTTGAGAATGACGCCGGAGTCTGTAGCGAGGAAGAGCACGTCCACGAAGCCTGACGTGAGCAGTTGCACTTGCGGGTCCACGGCTAGCTTGCTCAGCTTGAAGCTGTCATCGACATAATTGGGTCAACGCAACAGAGTAAATGTCAGGAATGGAAACAGAAACAAATTCTATCCCGTCAAAAGCTGAGTATTGTGATACAATGAATTGAATCTAGACAGAAGAACATTAAACAAACAAACTGAATAAAGCCGTCAAAAAGCCAGCTAAGACCCGGAAGAGAGCTTAGCCACAGCATTATTTTGACAACATTCCAGGGCTAGCTATTGATAGGGATAATTAGATAAATTTAATAAATACTCAAATGAGAAAAGGAGACATTTTCTCACTCGAAAGAGGCCTTGACGAGCAGCGGGCGGCTATAGAAGGCGGGCACGGCTCTGTCCATCAGCGGGTGCGTCTTCGCGAAGTTCAGGTTGAACTCCGGCAAGCTACTGCTGTCGTTCACGCACTCGCCCGGCCGGGGCTCCGGCACCTGAGTTCAGGAGTTATTACAATGCTAGAAGGAAAAAAATGTATACAGAAGAAATCCATAGAGTAAAACAAGAGAATAATTAGAGTACGTATTCGAAAGCATAATACTGCTGTCGTTCACGCACTCGCCCGGCCGGGGCTCCGGCACCTGAGTTAGAAACGGAAGATACGTGCTTGCAAAGTTGGGTCAAAATTGCCCGGGTGTCGATTTTTGGAGGGTGTGAGTTGTCGTGTCTGCGCCGACAAAATCATGCCGTCAGAGAAGTGATCCTTAAGGAGTTACAAGACTTGATGAAAAAAAACGTATACAGAAGAAATCCATTGAGTAAAACAAGAGAATAATTAGAGTATTCGAAAGCATAATACTGCTGTCGTTCACGCATTCGCCCGGCCGGGGCTCCGGCACCTGAGTTCAGGAGTTATTAAAATGCTAGAAGGAAAAAAATATATACAGAAGAAATCCATTGAGTAAAACAAGAGAATAATCAGAGTATTCGAAAGCATAATACTGCTGTCGTTCACACATTCGCCCGGCCGGGGCTCCGGCACCTGAGTTCAGGAGTTATTACAATGCTAGAAGGAAAAAAATATATACAGAAGAAATCCATTGAGTAAAACAAGAGAATAATCAGAGTATTCGAAAGCATAATACTGCTGTCGTTCGCGCATTCGCCCGGCCGGGGCTCCGGCACCTGAGTTAAAAACGGAAGATACGTGCTTTCAAAGTTGGGTCAAAAATGCCCGGGTGTCGATTTTTGGAGGGTGTGAGTTGTCGTGTCAGAATCATGCCGTCAGAAAAGTGATCCTTAAGGAGTTATTACAAGACTATATGAAAAAAACGTATACAGAAGAAATCTTTCGAGTAAAACAGGTATTTAATTTGACTATTCACAAGCATAATGAGTAATTTTATTCATTACTTTTAGAGTGGCATGTCTTGAACAAGTCCGGGCACCCGGCTTGACACTTTACCTTATGTGGAAGAACAGGTAGCCAGTTCGAGTTCATGGTTTCCTGGTGCTTGAAGCGACCCGCGAAGGACTCTTGGATATCCTTCATGCTGAACACGCACACCGCCGAGCCAGGGATGGAGTTCGGTGGAGTGTTGAAGATCGCGTACACCAACGAATGAGGCTCGCCGTTGTACAGACCTTCAACCACGTCGCTCGTCGACTCTGTAGGCAGAGTTGTTATCATAAACTATACCCACAGGATATTTAAATTCACCACTATCTGACGTCATAATGGTTCAATTATCATTCAATTCAGAAGTTCATGTGTCTTTGAAGGAAAGAGTGGTTTATGTATTACATAAAAATATACTTCTTTTTCGTCCGGATATTTATTGTTGTTACTTAGTTTTGATTTCAAAATTCAAGTTTAAACACACGATCAGCATTGCTTGAATGGTAAGAAAAACCCAAATTATGCTTGCAAAATACTAGTCTCAATAAATAATTAGTTAATCAAGTTCCAAAAATTAGTTAAGTTATAAATAATACAAATACTAATTAATTAAGTCCCAAAAACACGGGTCGATACGCAGCCAACTCACGGATTTCGTCGAAGTAGAAAGGGAACTTGGTTAATTAAATAGAAGTTTCAAAAACACGGGTCGATACGCAGCCAACTCACGGATTTCGTCGAAGTAGAAAGGGAACTCTCCGGAAACAGAGCAATTGAGTCTGGTTTTTAGGAAGCTCGTCCAGAGATTCTGGTACATGGCGACGCCCCCGCCGTTATCGCGCTTACATACGCGCGCTACACGCGAGTACACGAGCTTGCCGCAGTTCATGTACTCGACAGCCGTCTCCCGCAGGAAGAAAAACACGTGGTCGCCGTACTCGAACGAGTGCACGAACCCGGGGGCTGCACAACGTACGGGGAAATTATAAATAAATAGAGATACTAAGATTAAACCCAGGAGCTGCACAACGTACGGGAAAAAATAAATAAATGGAGATACTAAGATTAAACCCAGGAGCTGCAAAACGTACGGGGAAATAATAAATAAATAGAGATACTAAGATTAAACCCGGGAGCTGCACAACGTACGGGGAAATAATAAATAAATAGAGATACTAAGATTATGATGCTTCAAATTGATTGAGTTTCTATAGATAGGCTAAATTTTCAAATGATATCACAGGTTAAATTGTTGGCACTGAAGTTTTTAGAAGGAAACTATTCATTTTTAAATGAAGAACTTGAAGATTTTGCGCCCGGGAGCTACAAAACGTACGAGAAATTATAAATAAATGAAGATACCAACATTATGATAATTCAAATTGATTGAGTTTCTATACATATGATAAATTTCCAAATGATACCACAGGTTAATTTCTAGGCACTGAAGTTTTTAGAAGGAAAATATTCATTTTTAAATGAAGAATTTGAAGGTTTTGCGCCCGGGAGCTGCACAACGTACGGGGAAATTATAAATACGTATATGGAGATACTAACATTATGATAATTGAAATTGAGTTTCCATAGATAGGTTAAATTTCCAAATTATAGGGAAATTAATAAATAAATAGAGATACTAAGATATGATTAAATAGGGATTTTAATAGAATATATGGCATATAGAGAGAGACGACGTTCATGAAGAAAGAGCAACTGTGAAAGCGGACGCGTAGTGATTATAACATAACATAACATAGTGATGTCGGCGCTGAAGAGTAGGCCTGATGTGGCTTGTCGCCGATTCTTGAACTATTCGTGACTTGTTCACAGAAGATCTAATATAGTTTCATTTGACCGGATCTTTTCATGACTGACGATAGTTTCAATAAGTAGCTACTAGACTTCCACCGGATTCGATATGGTGATAGGCATTTCAAGTCTGAACATATATTTTTCCATAGCTTCATCTAGTCTGTTCTTGAACGCGTTCATTATGTTTACATCCCAGAGGGGAATTAAAAGAAATTATTTGTACGACAGACGAATGGAAAAGGCTGAAGCTCACCGGCAAAGACGAAGGTGGAGTTGTGTCGCGGATCGAAGGGACATTTTCCGACGCCAGTATCCTCAACATAAGTAAGGGAGCCGTTACTCTGGAAAGAAAAAATATTTTAGACGTTTCGTGACAAGTTATTTGTGATTTGTCGTGAATAAATGAGCATATACTTGATTTTCAGTGTTTCGCACTAATGGGTACGTACACGTTTAAATGCATTGGTGGAATAAAGAAAAATGTTTGTGAATAGCAAAATAAATAAATTTAATAGAAAAGAAAGGAATGACTAGCTGGAAATAAATAAAAATTAAAAGTTCGATACAAAAATTTGACGAAAACGAACCAGGATGGATGGAGTTTCTCAATGGACACATGTTCATTGAGAAACTTATAAAGAAACATCTGCATCGTCACGAAATCCTCTGGCTTATTGATGATTTATCAAGTTGTTTATTGGTCTTTCCTTGTCGACACTTCTCTAATTTTTAGGGTCCATCTTCTTTTGATCTTTTTCTTTGATTATTAAAAATGAAATATGAGTAGACCAAATTCCAAATTCACAATGGAGCGTGGGCCCGATGGCAAGCTTACAATCTTGATACAACTTTCTCATCTGCAACATTATCTTTCCGTTCCCTTATTCATAATACACTGTTAGAAAAATTACCGTTAACGGTATTACCGGCGTTTCAGTGGCCGGTGGGCACGTGAAAAGAAACGCCGTGTCGCCGTTTTTATTCTAATTTAACACTAGAAATCCGTAAAACATCGGATAAAAATGGCGAAACAGTTTATTTTCACGGGGCGGCCGGCCACTAGAACGCCAGTGTGACCGTTTTTCTAACAGTGTAGTTGGCTTACAACTTTCTCATCTGCAACATTATCTTTCCGTTCCCTTGTATATATAATAGTATATATATTATTCCCTTATATTATAATAGTTGGATGATTCTTTATACGCAAAAAAAAAATTTTTAATTTGTTTTTGATATAAAATGAGCCTGACCTGCACTGTGTAGTCGCGGCACAAAGGCTTATATGCGTTAGTGCCGCACACCAGGAACTCTCCTTCACTCTTCTTCGCGAGCACACGAATGTAGTTCTGGCAGTCAGACTGACGAGAAACGTGGTCAAAATTAACATAAAAATTTATGATAAACATACGGAAAATAACAATTGGAAAGAGGGGGAACCCTGTTGCTTCAAAATTTAGCGACAAACAAACTGCATACAGAGCTTTGAGTTTGTGACACTCATCGAAGTGTCAACGCCATGATTGTACCATAATTTTGTTTACCAAACAAAATATGGCAATATCTCAGAGAAGTAAAGAAGAAAAATGAAACATGTAACTCCTCAACAAATAAATAAATTAAATTAAATAAGTTGAAACATATTTCATTCGTACCGATAAATGAGAACGATAGGACTTGAAAATTTTAATAGTTCAATAAGCCTCAGATTTTTTACCTCAGATTTTCCCTTGTTGAAGCACATGCTGCTATCGCTGTCAGTTGAGTACCAGACAATTCTCTGCAACATGAACATGGAAGTCAAGTTATTTTATTTTTTGTTAGATATGCGGCCTCAATAAAGAATTAAAATCACGAAGTGAAATTCAAATGAAATTTCAATGAACAAGGTATCTATAAAAATTCCATTTATTTTCTTTTTGCAGTATTTAAAATTTAATTAGGAAGTACCCCTATCATAAATTTTAGCCGGCCAACTCAATTGAGAAAAACTAAATCACGGAATTTGTCCAGAAAAAATGACCGTCTGGCAACCCTGCTTAAAAAAAGTACCTACAAAAAATGAAATAATAGTACAAGATGAAGCAATCGTAGTCAACGTGTTAATTTATCAAGTGATCTTTTCTTAGTCATTAAATCAAGTTACATGTTGTGCTACATACATCCAACCAAAGCAAGTGATACGTTTATTATAACAGGAGTGAAGCTATGTTACTCTAAGGAAATAATGAGACAAGATAAATTTCTGTCCAGTTCTTACTATATAATAAATTATACATGAAGAGCAAATTCTTCAAAAACATCAGAGAATGCATTCAAATGTATACAAGTACATTACTATCCAATTTATTGTCGACTAAAATATCAGGGAACAATTTTACGCCCCACAAGGTATCGAAATTTAATAACTAGAGCGACGTTGATAAAGCGAACGCTGTGAGCTCAATGAACCTCAAAAAGGCCAGAGCATTGGGCTTCTCTAAAGCGATTGTGCATTAAGGTATGAAGTATACATTCGTAGGCCATTACGGAACACCGCATCGTTACCAGGGACAGGCGATCGTTCATAGAAATGACCGAGCAGAGCTGATCACCGGTCACGGGAACAATTTATATACACACACACAATGTCATAGTGGTAAACGTACGTGTAAAGGCAAGTAGTGTACAATTTATACGCACACACACACAGTGTCATATACAGTAAACGTACGTGTAAAGGCAAGTAGTGTACAATTTTTACACACACATTCATACACACACACAGTGTCATAGCGGTAAACGTATACGTGTAAAGGCAAGTAGTGTACAATTTATACACACATACACACACACACACTTATGTCATATACAGTAAACGTACATGTAAAGGCAAGTAGTGTACAATTTATACACATACACACACACACACACTTGTGTCATGGCAGTGAACGTACGTCAAACGGTAATGCGTCGTGTGATGCCTGTACTACTCCATGGACTGAACATGGCTGTGAGCTGTTTTCATTAAATATTCAACAGTAAAACATCACCTTACAGAAATGATTTCATAGAACAACCCGTAGCGGATTGACGTTGAAGTGAACCCTCTGGGGCATTGCCCTCGGGAAATGTAATCATTAAAACATTTATTCCAAAAAATTACCAACTGAAAAAAAAAACATTTGATGGAGGCCTGAAAAAATCTAGACAGTCAAACGATTAAAAAAATGTTATAGGCTACGAAATAAATTATTGGATAAAATCCAACAAATTAGCCGCTAAAAAAAATTAGACAATCAAACGATTGAAAAAATGTTATAGGCTACGAAATAAATTCTTGGATTTAATCCTGTAAATTATCCTTTAACCAGCGGTGCAGTCAGGGATGGCTCTATAAGATAAGTGAGACCTAATTAACAATATTAGAACACAAATAACATACAGTGCCTTTCAACGCGATACAAGAATGCGTAAATTTGTTAGCAGAGAAGTTTAACCGCTTAAAGATTTCACTACTAAAATATTTTCCGATAGAACAATTTTCTCAACACAAACCGTGTAATTTGAAATACCATTACATCTACCTAATGTAGTGGCTGACAACTGATTTGATGTACGATGAGCCAAATAGCCAATGATACACACTGGAAGAAAACTGCAGTAATTCTTGTTCAAGTTTAATAGTTCAAGCCATTACTTGTGGATAACTCTTTCATTTCTTATTGTAGAAATCGATCAACCTGACTCACGACAAAGATATATAGAACATCACGCTAGAAGTCAGCTTCAATAAATGTTATTACTTTAGTTATTATCCCTAATAACTTTCTCAAATGCATTATTTTGGGCAATAAAGTTAGTATTTTTGTTATTATCACTGATTATTATTATTATCAACTTTCTCAAATGCATTATTTTTGGGCAATAAAGTTAGTATTTTTGTTATTATCACTGATTATCATTATCAACTTTCTCAAATGCATTATTTTTGGGCAATAAAGTTAGTATTTTTGTTATTATCGCTGATTATTATTATCAACTTTCTCTCAAATGCATTATTTTTTAGCTGCATAATTAGGACTGCATTAAATTACCTGGCACCGACGAGTATATAGTCAACCTAACTCACGACAAAGATATGTAGAACATCACGCTAGAAGTCAGCTTCAATAAAGTGTTATTTTTTAGTTACTATCACTAATAACGTTCTCAAATGCATTATTTTGTAGCTGCATAATTAGGACTGCAATAAATTACCTGGCACCGACGAGAATGTAGTCGCCGTCACGCTAGAAGTCAGCTTCAATAAAGTGTTATTATTTTAGTTATTATCACTAATAACTTTCTCAAATGCATTATTTTTTAGCTGCATAATTAGGACTGCAATAAATTACCTGGCACCGACGAGAATGTAGTCGCCGTCACGCTGCAGGAGCCGGAAGTGATCTGTGTGACTCTCGTTGCCGTAGAAGCTCTGCACATCGTGCTCGTCTGCACACAAAATATATTACTGAGCGTGTCATCCACGAGGTATTATTATAAACATGTTAAAAATTTAGTAATTCTATACTTAAAATTGATCAATTAAGTGTCCGTACACCAAGTTCTCACAGGGATCATGTCACAAAAAAATTCAAAACGTGCTCGTCTGCACACAAAATATATTACTGAGCGTGTCATCCACGAGGTATTATTATAAACATGTTAAAAATTTAGTATTTCTATACTTAAAATAGATAAATCAAGTGTCCATACACCAAGTTCTCACAGGGATGATGACACAAAAAATTCAAAATGACGATCTAAAATAGAACTTTCTATGATTGGTGGATTTTGCTTGAAAGTCCGCCAATGATTGGCTGATGAACTTACGATCTCTTAACTTTTTTTGAAAGTATAGGCCCAGGTGTATCTAAGATCACTCTTGTAATAAAAGAACAAGCAGCAGACCAACGCCACATATATAGCACCGGATGAACAGCGCTGCGTTGTTAAAAAGAAATAATGCGGGTGGCATCGGCAACTATACTGGAGAGCAAATGAAGCCAAGATGTGTATGTCTATTTAAATCGCAAAGGTTATGTCGATTTTCAAGCCACGATTTCGCAGAATTTTTTGTAATTATGTGAGTTTCAACCTGGTCGACTACCAGGGTTACACTGTAAAAACTTTTAAAACAGCCTTTGTTCACATAGAATGTAGTGGAAATTCTAAACAAATAATAATCGACGTAAATATTGCCATATACCAAAGTACACAAGGTTACTCGACGCAAACATTTTCATGCACCAAAGTACACAAGGTTAAAGGTTAAATGTGTAACAATTAAATTAGGCAATTTAGCGACATACATTATAGAAATAAAGCGCCATGATTTTACGAACTTTTAAGTACATCAGGCGCGCCCTCCGTGAACAACAGCAGGTCGTTCGTCTTCGTCTACGAGCGTCAATTGAATCACACAGTAAAGGATGGAGTCAAGGACGCGTTGACATGAGTAATGATCACCAATAAATCTAGTGCACCATAGTGGTTGTTCTTTTCAGTGATAGGTCGGTTTTGCGCATAGGTGTTATTAAAAAATACTCAGTAAATACTAAAAAAAAATACTCACAAAAATACTCAGTACTCACTGCAGTGAGTGACAGAGTGCGCATTTTCTCGTCGACGAAAACTTGAGGTCACGGACAGACAGACAGAAGGACGGACAGACAGACAGACGGACATGGCGAGCACAATAGTGCATTTTCTCCATAAATGAGAAAATGCGCTAAAAATCAAACTTTTCGCACCACTACCTGGGTATGTATGATGGAATCGTAAAATATGACGAAATTTTCATAATAATAATGAGCAATTGAGAACCTCCTGTTTCTCAGTAACACACTTAGTACGACACTAACTAAAAAAAGTCCATAACGCCCCAAAAACAGTAATGGTATACATGGCTAAATTACATTTTTACTGACATATTGATCAATAGCAAAATAAAATAAAACTAAGTCTTCCTAGATAAACCAGGCCATACCCGACCCTCATGTTGAAAATCCAGTTGATTCGAAAATAAATAAAGCCAGCATTATTGAACTTAACTAAAAATTAACCACCATTAGAGAAGACATTACCAGCAAAAGCTTCGAAACGCTACTTTCATCAAGTGACTTCTGTATCGACTTGCTGTTGACCGACTGAACACCCAATTTTAGCTTTGCCCTTTTAGCGATAACATCTATATACGAGCTTCAAATCCCTTTGAATTTCAAGTAGGCAATACCAGCGTAAATAATAATTTATTAGACGGCATTCCTGCGCAATCATCGGATTCTCGCTTTAATCCGGAGGGGAGCGCATGGAGTCCCATAAAGGCGGCCGTGGTAGAAGGCATTAACACGCCACCCCATAAAGCCATAAATAAATCACCGACAATATATTTCAGTCCCTCCTCACACGAACAATTCATGTGAGGAAGCGAACAATATCTAATGTTTGGCAGAGTAGCAATACCACTTTCTTTCAATGTTAAACACTATAAATAAAATGATTCTAATAGTACTCAGTCATTTAAATATTATTTCGTTATTTAACTGTATATTTCTGAGATCAAAGGCTTTACCCATCCCGCTTAACCATCCCCGAAATGGACAACAAAAGATTTCGTCGAAACTTTTTTCTACAATGGAAAATTTTTTCCTTCTTTTCACGTAAGAAAATTTATTTATCTTTCATTGAAAATTGTTTGTCATCGGAACCCGCACATATATACATTTTGTGCACCACAATTATAACTTTCAACCTAAGATATATTCATTGATGATAGTTATGGGCTATTTTCACGTCATTGTAGATTCATATTTTGAACTCGGTACTAAAACTGGTGGTGATTTGGCTGCAAGATATCAATTATCAATGTTAATATAATTATATGACATCATAATTTAGAAAACGAAAGAACTTCATTCACATACGAGCAGTAAACTAAACAATTAAAAGCAATGAGAAGCATATAAATGTTTACGATTTGGAGGCTTTATTAACTTTTAATGGCAAATGCGGCCCTCGAGATGTGTTTGCCCAAAGCAGTCCTACAAAATTGGACGCGCTTCAGTTGCGGCAAATGTTTGATGCTCACTTTGTAATTCTTAGTAATATTTTACTAGTGAACTGAAAAAAAAATTCATGGGAACTCTAACGAGTGCAGAAGCCAACAGAATGTATGTCAGAGAGCGAAGCAAAAATGGTAGAGCTTTAATACAACACGCGTGCTGGCAAACAAGGTACGAAGGCCTTCCTTGATAGTCTCACTGAACTCAGGCTCAGCTACAATAGAGGACACTGAAGCTGCTCGCCCAATTCAACCAGTATTTATTTGATTAAGCTCAATAATAAAATGAGATTGGATTCTTAAATCTACCTTAACCTGCCTAAAAAACTGGTTCCGATCTCAATCTGGATACTAGAACATGTTGGCGTCAAATTCTACATCATTTATCTATCCATGTCAATAGCGCGAGATCTAATATGCAAAAGGTCGCGCTCGGTAAAAAAAAACATCTCATGCTAATACCAAGAAATTCGGGACATCTCGCAACATGGGGCCGTATTATCAAAACTCCGTAAGTACGCAAAATCGACTTACGAGTGGCGTTGCTATGACAACGTAATACAAGTGGTGGTATTATCAAAACATTTGAGCGGGAAACATTTGCGCGGCAAAAACATTTACGCTTTTAGCTAAGACTTGCGTACGAAAATTTTGATAATGCCAAAATTAGGGTGTACTTACGTACCACATAACTTTTTTGTCGTAAGTACAAAAAGTTGCGAAGTTTTGATAATCCGGCCCCAATGGGCTGCAAGACGACATAGCTGGCTTCACTAAAAGCAATTGGCGCTCAACTCATGGTGTAAACAAACGATCTCCTGGCACACTAAACATTGCGTTGTTTTAAGATAAGAATTGCAAGGAAAGCAATTTTAGTACAAGTGCCCCTGTTGCTGCCTACATGAGTAGCATGCCTCGTTGGTTCAACGTTGCACCAAGACACACTTATTGTCACTATCAATGGTCTCAAGGTAATACGCCTGACTAAAGTAAGAACAAGAGAGGAGAAAAAAGAAAAAATACACCTAAACATTCTTCGAACGCATAAAAATCAGTATATTAAATTGGCAACTGTAATTTAAAAAAAATAGCGTTAAATAAAGAGAATAATTAAGTGGTATCATGTACTACAGATGTGGAGAATTCAATTTTTTGCAACGATCGGAACCAGTCAAGTTATTCATTGACTCGAAATATTAATAGGTTATGGATTATACACTGTGAGCACTTGAATTCACATCCATAACCGCTGACACATCATATTTCTTCACTCTACATCACATCTACAACATAAAACTGAACACCCAATAGCCAAATACAGAACTTGCCACACGTCTGACGTTGAATCAACGATAATTAAACGTTGTATCAACATCATTTGCCTGCTGGGAAAGTAATTTAAACATTCGCGTCTGGTCCAGAACTATCGATAAATCGAACTGGATTACGCATGGATATTGTGGGCCACGCACGCCAAACATCCGCCGAAAGCCACCGGCATATATTGACCCACATACCCACATATTGACCCACATACAGAGCCTCACTGCCAGCTGAGTCATCGTGGCAACGTTCCTTTTTGTTTACACTCAATTTATGCCACGAACAGTCAGCACTAATTTAAAACATAACTCTGGCCGTTTCGGCCAAAAATACTCAAAAAGTGAGCCTTGTAAAAGCGCTGCTAAATTTGAGAGGTTGAATGGCTTATTCAAACAATTTACTTAAAGTATCATGCTAATCACGCACAGTAAATTGCCGGTAAAACCTAGCCACCAATTCACCCCTTTATGTTAGTAATATACGAACATGCGGTGCCGTTCGACCCGAACTACACCCTCTGGTGTTATCCCTCACCTGATGTATAGTTACGTTCAAAATATGGCCGCGGTAGGTAAAATCCGCGATGGGGCATTTATCGACTGATGGTAAATATTAAAGTTTTTATATTTTAATGGTTTTTAAGTTTTAGGCGTTTACAAACCCTTCCAACACTGTTACTGTCGATCCAGTTCCATGCACGGTATGTTAAAATCAGCCGATCGACTTCCTCAGAAACTCGCGAACCAGCGAAAATTTGAGAATGATTTTTCTCAATAATATTTCTTTAAAGCACACGATGAAGCGAAGCCCCGCGGTAGGTGAAGCGCAATATATTAACTAGGGATTACTGTAATAACGCTGGCACACGATAAGTTGTCATGCATGACGGTACCCATTCTGAAACATGACAAGACGAAGGCAGAATTACCCCTCGATGATCCATGTTAACTCACTATATTGTCACGAATAGCACAAAAAGTCTAGCCTCCTCCTTCCATGAAATAGCAACGCTGACGCACCGAACACTTCCTTCCCACCGGATGGTCGGATCCCAGGTCACTGTGTC